AAAAACTTCTTAACACTGGGATAACTGAAGAGCAAGCCTTGAAAAAACTCGGTCTCAAAACCAAACCAGCTACGGGATTGGAAAACTACAACTACCTTAAATCTATCTGGGAACAGGAAAAGATGACAACATTTCGCGACTTTCTACGGTGGTATAACAACAAAGATGTTGTTCCTACCCTTGATGCTATGCAGAAAATGATTGAATTTTATCATGACAAAGGGATAGATATGTTAAAGCTCGGCTGCACACTACCGAATCTAGCCAACATCTGTCTACACAAATCAACCGACTATAAGTTTTACCCATTCTTTTCGAGTGATAGTGACTTGCTTGAAAAAATACGGGAAGATATGACCGGTGGTCCCTCAATTGTTTTCACAGGGAAAGCAGTAGCAAATGAAACCTTTATTCGAAAATCAAAAAAATTGTGTAAATCAATCGTTGGGATTGATGCTAGTCAACTCTATCCTTATTCTATGTGTCAGGATATGCCCACAGGTTTGTATACGAGATGGGACTACGATGAAGAAACACAAAATTTCAAGGCAAGGCAAAATTGAGTTCGAACATTTGAAAATATGGTCATGTCATACTTTCAAGCAACCAGAACTGAATGTAAAATTGTTACTACACTACAGGAAAACAGAAGAAAATTGATTGCTTTAGTGTTGATGGTTTTTGCAACCATTGTAAGACTGTCTTTGAAGCAATGGGTTGTTATTTCCATTTTGTCCTTGTCAAGAAGGTAGACCGAGCCTAACTGATGATGATATCAAACGAGGAACCAAGAAAAGAGAATTGGATGATCTTCGAAAAGACTACATTCGAGAAAAAGGATACTCTATAGAAGAAATGTGGGAGTGTAGCTGGTGGGATCAATTTAAAAACAATGTAGACGTGAAAAATCACGTTAGAACTCACTTTCCCTTCAAAAGACCTCTTTCTGCCAATTCACTAGTGCAAAACATTAGAAATGAAAAAATGTTCGGTTATGTGCAATGCGATCTGAGTGTTCCAGATGAGCTTAAAGCAAAATTTTCCAATTTCCCACCTTTTTTTTTTCAAAAATATTGATGTTTCCAGAAACGATATTGGTGAATATATGAAGACATATGCGGAAGAAAACGATTTGCTAAAACAATCGCAAAGAATGTTGATATCGAGCTTCAAATTGAACAACGGAACACTGATCACGCCACTTTTCAATTTTACTTGGATCTAGGACTACAGTGTACAAAAATTCATCGTTTTGTACAATACACACCGCATAAAGTATTCAACAGTTTTGTTCAGTCTGTTGTTGATGCTAGGCGAGCCGGCGATGAAAATCCATTATCTGGCGTAGTAGCCGAAACAATGAAACTTCTAGGAAACAGTTCCTACGGCTATCAAATAATGGACATATCAAAACATACAATGACAAAATATCTTGGAGACGAAAAAACCCACAAAGCTATCAATAACCAATTCTTCAAGAGACTTAATATCGTAGCTAAAGATTTGTATGAAGTGGAACTTGTTAAATCTACTATAGAGCATCGTGAACCAATAATAGTAGGATTTTTTATACTACAGTATGCCAAGTTGAGAATGTTGGAGTTGTATTATAACTTTTTCGATGAATTTTGCGATGTCAACAAATTCGAAGAACTCGAAATGGATACAGATTCCCTCTATTTGGCTTTGGCAGAAGAAGATTTAGATGATTGTATCCTTCCCAGCAAGCGAGCAGAATGGACTGAAAGGCGAAGCAAGGACTGTCGAGACGATTTCAGAGCAGTACTTGCTGTTCTAAACATAAGAAACATGACAAGAGAGAACCAGGATTGTTCAAGGAGAAGTTCAGATGCACCGAAATGTTATGCCTGTGTAGTAAAACCTATTGCTGTTACGATAGTAAAAGTCAAAAGTATAAGTTTAGCAGTAAAGGTCTGAACAAACGTGCATTAGAAGACTCTTGAGATGGACCAATGGCAAAGTATCGACAAGTACTGGATGAGGCAGTGAATTTGAAGTCAACGAATAGAGGATTTAAAACAATTAACCATGCAGTCGCAACTTATGGACAAACTAAAAAAGGACTGAGCTATTTTTACCCTAAACGGGAAGTTGAATGTGATGGAATACATACTAAACCTCTACATTTGTAAGAGATTTTGTAGTAAAATTGTATACGATGCTGTGAGTTAATACATTTTCTCTGTAATTAATCTTTTTTTTTTCTTTTGAAAAAACTCTTTTTAAACGCTTCGTTTGGGTTAACAGTATGTTGTTTTTTGATTGGAAAACATTTACAATCTGGAAAATTGGCTAAATCGAGCTCCAAAAAACTCGGGTGCCAAAGTTTTTTTTCAAACTTACCATCTGAAACTTTACCATCTGAAACCTAACATCGTAATACATTAGAAATCCTATTCCCTAATGAGTTCTTAATTCCCTACAAGGAATTTCTTATACATACGGAAATCTATACATGGGAAATTCGGGCGCCGAAAAAAAACTTACCATCTGAAACCTCGTATCTTAATACATTGGGAAACCTATTCCCTATCTTAATACATTGGGAAATCTATAGCCTATTTTAATACATAGGGTGCGGACCGGATACTCTATAGCCTATGTTATTACATGGAGGTCCGCACCCCCCCCCCCCCGGCTGAACTGCCCCAACCTATACTACTCATTTATGTTTCTTGAAGTGAGCTTGTGAGCGAAGTGTATTTTTACGAACCTTTTTCTTTTTCTAACCTAACTCGCAAATAAAAGTGTTTATTAAAAGTGTTCTGTTTTTGGTGGCTTTTATTGCAAAGTTCGTAGAAACTGTCCTCTGCTTTATTTGTGGCTAGTGTTTGTGGTTTTTTAAGCATCCGCGACTGACATGGTTAGTGCGTGAGATTCATTGCACTAGCCATCAGCGTAGTGTTTTTTAACCAACTTTTTTCCAACCTGCCTCGCAAATGAAAGTGTTCATTAAATGTGTTAATTTAGTTGAAATTTCAGTGTAGCGTTGGAAATTGCAAATTATCTGTCCTCTGCTTTATTTGTGGCTAGTGGTTGATACCTATTAAGCGTCCGTGGTCAAGTCTTTAGAGTGCGCGATTATTAATGTGCAGATCGCAGGTTCGAACCTCAGAGGTATGCGAATTAGTACTAATTCAAGCTTGTTTCTAATTTTTCTTATTGCTCTTCATAGAGCTGCTTTTGGTCGTGTTCTTGCTTGTGTTTGCGAAGTGTAGCTTCACCTCTGTCTAAAAAGGAAGGCAAACTTCACAATCGAACTGCGAAATTGTAAGTTTCACAAAAACAACGTGATCAACTTCTAATTTCAAATATGGATTTTAATTATCAGATTTCCCAGCAAATACCTTTTGATCCAGTTTTCTCAATATTTTTTTAAATCAAAAAAATGTCGGTCAAAAATTATTTTAGAAATTCAACAAGCCATCTTTTTCGTTGAAATCTGAAATGAGGTTTTTTCAAAACACAAGTCAGTGTTTTTTTTTGTGTTTACATGCGTTCATTGACTCTTCTCCAACTGTCTGTTAGCTATAATTTTTGTGTACAGTTTGAAAAACTTATTTTCATAAACTTGAGTGTTTGTAAATGGTGACCTGTTTTTTGACAGACTTTAAGTTCATCTTATGATATAAAAACAAAAAAAAAAGAATTCTAGGTTTTTGTGTGGATGTCAACCCGGGGATCTGTTTCTCTAGCAAAATTTCCAGCCCTGCAAATGGCTATTTTAACGATTAAGCATAATAACGTTGTACCCTGCAATGAACTACTCGCTTCCATTATTCTTTGATTGGGAAAATAGTTACAGATCAGGGCTGTATTAAGGAGCACTGAAACTGTTTATGCTTGCCATTAGCAAGCGTTATCAAATCGGAATGTAGACTTTGGTTGCTAATGAATTCAAATTTCTAAACGGCTCTGACACACTTATTTTGGAGGTAACGAATACGCTTGGGACGGCAAAGGTTCTGGTTTCGAATCTGACCAGGACCAGTTTTTTTAAACGAAATTTTCCGTTTCAAAAAAAAATGGCGTCTCATTATTTGTCTGCTTGTTTGGTCGGCTTAGTTGCCACATCTTAGATTTTTTTGTCTGCAGTTTTTTTGTAGTTGGTTTGTATGTTTTCATTTACTGCTGGAATTTGTAATTCTACTAGCCTTGACCTTTTGTATTATTTCTTTTATTATTGTTTTTGCTTGAACAAATTTTTGGCCCAAATGATTTCGTCTTATACTTTATCGGCTTACTAGCCTAATTTGCAGTCATTCGTTCGAGGGAAACATAATTTTTATTTTTCTCCGGATTGCACAAAACGTTAAAAATATCAGAATACAATTTTAAGTTCAAGTTTTTCATGACAACAGTGTTTTTCGATCAAAAATTGTCTTCGATTTTTCATTGAATGCTGTCGAAGGTTGTTCGTCATTCAACGCCGTCTGGACGTGTTTTCCGCAAATAGAACATCATTCCAGGCAATATTTTCAAGTTTTAATTCGTGGTTTCTATGTAAAGTTTTCTTTGGATTTAGTGGCGCTTCTTTCCTTTCCTGTCTGCTAGCTTGCAATGCTATTTTTGTGGTATCGTAAGTGATGCGAAGCTCCGCTCTGCCTCTCTGTTATATATTTTTGGCCGACCTAAATGTGAGCAGAGGAGAAGTTTGAGTGATTTGTTGAATGTTTAGTTGAAAAGCTGAACTGAACCTCAAATGAGCTGAAATATCTGTGCCGAATTATCTATTCTATGTAGTCGAAAAACGGGTTATTTTTACCCATGGGATAATTTAGTTTGAATTCCCTTGTTGAATGCCAGGGAAGACAGTGGCAAGGTTCGTGCTGTTTTAGAGTTGAAAACATTATAGTTGTTCAGTGGCAAATTTTGTTATTTTGCTGTTTTATGGTTGAAAATCCCAAAAAATTTTGTCGATGCATTGAAACAAAAACATAAATGACCACTGAATGTAAACCTGTCAATGAATTTTTCAGCCCTTTCTGCTCAACAGTATCCTGGAAACTGACGAAGACGTGTTGAATTTTAAGGACCACAACAAGTGGGCCCTTAATGTGGTGGAGGCGTTGAGAGATGTAAGAACCTCAATGACAGACGAAATTGCAGACAATGTCACGCGCATTCTTAGGTGGGTATCATTAGCGCTTCAAAATAAACTCATTTTTTATACTGGCTTAACAATTCAAATTTGGTCAAAAAAAATATATAAGTTAACGCAAAAAAAAACAAAAAAAATTGAGCGCAAAATATAGATAAGGGTAGCAGCAATCATATACGAAATATTTAGGTATTTTGTTGCACTCATTGTTAGTGGACTTATTGATTTGGTGTTATTGGCTTCGTTGTTGTAAATTATAATTGGACGCCTTAAAATAATTAGAATACACTAATATTCCTTCTGAAAAATAATTCTTCTTAACAAAGATCTTCTGTAGGAAATCAATGATCGACGTGAATGTGTACATGGACTCGCTTTACATCGACACAATTAAAGAATCGCCAGCGTATACAGTCATTGACCTCTTGGCGGATTTCGGAGGCAACTCGGGACTCTATGTCGGATTCTGTGCTCTGTCGTTATTTGAAGTTCTGGAGTTTATTTGGGACGTCACCTCGGCTGTCGTGAAACGCAAGTTACTCGGAATTGTAGCTTACTACGAACGCGACGACGATGACAATAAAAAGAAAAGGAAAAATGTCGAATCTGCGATCTGATCAAAGAAGTAATAATTATGCTAACAATCATGATAAAAAGAAGACAATTTCTATATTTTACTCGTAATGATAGAGATAATCTTGTCTATCCTGATCAAAAATCCTTAGTATCTTTCGAAACTCACTGCTTGATATCAATTTCACTGCCTGTTTCATGCAAACCGTTTACGGAGTGTTTGTTTGTTTGTTTGTTTTTTTTACTGATTGAATTTGTATTATTAGTCTAATTATTCATCACAGATTGAACTAATTCGCATCTTACAGGGTTGACTATAATTTATTTTCATAAAACATTTGTTTTTTATTCCAGCGAAACTCAGGCTTATAGTGAAGCAACTTACCTGTGGCAAGTCGATAAGATTTTAGGTAAAGAAGTTAAGTAGGCTTGCAATGAGCAAGGGTTATCAAATCGTAATATAGACTTTGTTCTGGTTAACAACTTGTTAAACAAAATCTATTAAATTATTTGTACTGATGATATGCTCGATTTTCTGAACATCATACCTAATCAGTGGCTTTAAAAGCTATTAACAACTAGAAAAAGCTGTGTTTAGAATTCTATCATCGGCTTAAGATCTGTTAGTTTGCGAATTATGCATACCACTCTGCATACACTATATATTTTCTATATGGCGATGCATGCTATTTTTTCCAATAAGATTTTCTGCCGAAAATTTCCAGTTGATTATCGGGTTCGGCTTTAATTCTGCCGGCTTTTTACTTTCTTTTGTTAACTAAAAGATTTCGCTGGTATTTTTAAGATCGATGAGAGTCTGAGACCATAAAATCCGAATTCTTAAACTCGGCCCCACCAGGGCCCTCTTCAAAAATTTTAACACTTTTTTTATGATTTTCTTGAGTTTCCTTGTTTTTTTTTCATGAAAACATCGTTCGAAATCCTTTTTTTTCTTCTATTTTTGATCGTTATGCTGTTTAAGAGTCGATGAATGCAGTGTCGATTTTGATTATTATTATTATTTTTTTATTTTTTTTTTTCGTTTTTTTTTCAGGAAAAGTCTTGCAATTTGTTCAGGCTCCGTTTTTTTGGGCGTTTAAATTAAGATTTATTAAGTTCGATGTTCCAGCTTGAATTCAGTGCTTTTTTGCCAAGTTTAAAGTTAGCAACCATAAAGTGGGATGCTGTCAGGATGACCCTTGGGGTTGCAAATTGGGCCTCCAAAAATGAATACCCAAATCTTTTTACTTGACGAGATACAAATATTCTAGTGATTTTTTCGAATTTTCTTGTTTTCATAAAATTTAGATTTAAAAATATCCACAAAAATTTAAATTCTCAATTTGTTATTGGGTACTCTCAAGTTACCTTCAGGGTTGCAAATTTTGCCTCAAAATCTGACAGCTCAAATCCTTTTAGTTTGCGAGATATTACGTTTCTTTTGTAATTTTTTCAATTATTTTCAAAGAACCGATATAGAAAAGCTTGACAAAAATTGAAATTCTCAGCTCTAGGGTTTGAGTTGATGTCAGGGTTTTTTCAGGCATTGCAAAAAAGTGCCTTCACAATTATTTGCTCGAGCTTTTTACTTTCCGAAATCAGACGAAGAAATTTTGTAGTGAAACAAAAATTGAATTACTAAACCCTGTAATTGGATGCTGTCAAGGTACTCTCAGGCCGTCCAAATCTTGCCTCAAAATTTGACTGCTCAAGTTCTTATAGTTTTTGAGATATGACGTTTTGTTCGATTTTTCAAATATCTTACTATAAAAAACCATCAAAAATTAAAAATCTCATCTCTTTAGTGTGAGGTGCTGTCATGGTACTCTCAAGCGTTGCAAATCTTGCATCGAAATATGATTGCTGAACTCTTTATGTTCTGAGATGGCATTTTTTTCAGAATATTTCAATATGCAAAATTTTACAAATTTGAAATTGCCAACCCTATAGTCTCAAGGTAAATTCTCAAAAGCTTTAAGTTGTCGAAATTCCCAAACTTACAGTGGGGGTTCTCTGGGTACTATCAGAAGTTGCATATCTTTCCTACAATTTTGATTGCTCAAATCATCTTAGTTTTTGAGATATGCCGTTTTTGATGCTTTTTCAAACTGTTCTAAAAACTTAACAATTTCCGAGCTCGATATACTCATACACTTTGGTGGGGTGCTCTCAAGGTACTCTCAGGATGTTTGTCTGGACTCCAATTATGACTGCTCAACGCCTTCTGCTTTCTTATTCTAAGATATGACGATTTTATCTTTTTTGAAAATTTGCTAAAATGTTGAATTTAAAATATAAACTTTCAAAATTTGAATTTGAAATTGTCGCTGCTTTGTTGGGGTGATGTCAAGTTACTACCAGCGGATGCAAGTTTGGCCTCTGATACCAATATTATCGCTCCAATTTTTTCCGGAAACTTTAAATTAAATTACCAAAACAGAGTCTGATATTTCAAAATTAATTACGCTTGATTATGAATCCCATTTTTGAAATTGATGATTTTGCAATTGAAAGTGTTTCAAGTTTTTTGAAATACGGGAAGTGCAGTTTTATGCGTTAGGCCATTTTAGGGTTTCGTTTACAAGTTTGAGTTTAAAATCCTTTAAGTCAAAATTATTTTTCAAATTGCTCATATCGTCGCATTACCAACTAATATCTAAAATTAGCAATATGACATCAATACAATCATCTATTTCGTTGTTCTTTTTGAATCAACGTTATCACTATTTTTCAGCCTTGTTCGTCAAATAAGCACACTATATCCGAATCAAATTTAGACTGTGGGTTTTTCAGATCATGTATTGATGGAGGAGGTTCAAATTTGAACCAATATGACTCTCGACCAATCTCCCCTAGGTGCCTCTGTGGGCTCGTTCAGTCGGAAGAGTGGAGGGGTGCGTAGTTCGTTCAAGGCTGCTGGCAGATACACAACCAACACTCTGGGGGTGGGAGGGGCAACTGCGGCCACCATGTTCGAAGAGAAGTGCTGCAAGTGTAGATTCACTATCAAACATACATCATCCTATCTTCAGTTCCACAAACAGCCTTGGTGTGTACAGTCAAGTCCATTTTGTTGCTATTATTCTTTTCAGTCGAAACAGTGGAACGACCTTTGTTTTACCTGAAACTGCTCAGTTAGGCATCAGAAATTGAATTATCACTCATTTCAGCAGATTTTTGTCAACAATTTGGCATCAATTTAACGTGCATATAAGTGCAGAAGTATGTTTAGTATGTCGTAATAAGTGTATATAAGTGTATTTAGTATAATGTAGTAATCGTAATAAGTGTACGAGAACATATACCATTTTGGTTTACTACCGCTGTTTTTATCCGTTTTTCTAACTTTGATGGGATAAATAACCATAATTGACGGATGAGAATGGATAATGTTCAATCGTGTCTGTGTTTGCAGGCTGCCCCAGAAGGTAGGTGTGTGGTGGCACCGGAAGGGCAAAAAGGGAGTGTACAAGATAGAAAGTTCGAGGGAGTGGGTGGCCAAGCCAGGTGATCCATACCAGGGCAATTCCCACTTCTTCAACCCAGCAGACCGCACATACGACTACGTCTCATTCGACGCTGGATTCATTCTTGTAAGTTACTACAGAATTTGTTAACTATTTTTTAATAAGGGAGAATTGGTTACAAGGTATAACATTAATATAGGCTTTTAACTGTTCAATTCTTTCTACAATTTGATTGCCTTTTGATTTATGAAAAAAGTTAATTGTCAATACCGAATTCATTATAAATTGGGCGTGACTTGTTCCTGTTGTTGTTTAGAAACCTTCATCCGACCAGTTTCTGAAGAAACTGTTCAAAGTAACTCTTGTCGGGGTGAGTACTAATTTATACTTAAATTAATGAAGAAAGTATGACAGTATTTGACTTAAACTTCTGCGAAAGCTTTAAAAATAATCAGATTTGATCACAAATGACGAATCAAAGTTCAAAAAAGTGACCTCTAAACTTCATTACTATGATATAAAATTGATTTTGTTTTACAGTACAATCCTGAAGCTCCAAAGCACAAACAGACAAAGCTTCTGGGAACAGGGGAAGTGGATTTAAGCTCTCATGCTTTTGAAGCATACACCATGCAGACATTGTGCAGAACCACAGGCACTCTCCCCTCATCGGGAAGAGCATCATCGACAAGTAGTGGTGACTCATCCACCACAAGTAGACGACTGAAAGTCGAATTAGTTCCAAAAAGCGAAAAGGTAAGAAGACGTGTTAGGCCCTGTTTACTAGGCTTATGAACAATTCGCCTTGAACAATGCTATGAACAAAAACAACGAAAAAAAGCGCTCTTTTAATTTTTGCGCGCAATGCTATCGTCAAAATATAATGTTATGTCTAATTGTAAACTTTACCGTCAAATGTTGATCAATGTCTACTTTGACATCTGGGTATTTTTGATGAAGTTTTGCCATTTTCTAACATAAATGGTATGTATCGATTTCAACCAGGTCATGGTGCTAACACTGGACATAGAGATAAGCTGTACGATGATAGCCGAAAATGTGCAGTTGGATGACAATGAGTTCTGGGACGCAAGCAGCGCGAGTTGCGGAGGCAGCACCAATGACGACTTGTTGTCTCTAAATTCAGAGTTCCTGGAGTCCCTGGATGGCAGCAGTTCGTCCCCTGCTGTGCAGAATAAACTCACCCGCTTCCAGACCATGTCTCCGGGCGGTGAGTTGACTCGCCTGGAAACCGATGAGAACCAGGTCGTTGTTAATCTTGGCCGTCTTTATGCAACAGGAGTTTATTTTCACTTTGTCAAACCCCCCTTCCTTTTAAAGAACGGACTCATAGAAAACTAGTGAACATTAGTTAGCATTTGCCGTCAGAAGATTGAATGGGTCTCGGTACTAAACCTTGCGCCAAGCTTCAAATTATACAAACATTGACTATTTCACTTGCTCCAGTTTTAGAGTTTGGATATGAAATAGACGCATCTATTTAACCCTATTCATGAAGTTGATTTTTGAACAATTAAGGAAATTGCAAATCTTATACTAGAAATTTGAGCTTGGAATTGGTCGATTTGAAACTGACGTGTTTAGATGCCAAGTCCAAAAAGGGTGCAGCGGGTGCGTTTAAACGGATAGCCAGTTTCCAGATCAAAAAGAATCCATCTTCCCCTCTGGCTCCTGGGAGTAAATCTAGTGCCAGTGGCCACTCATTCTCATCGTCCAGTCTGCTGCAAGCCAAGGCCAGAACTGCGTCTCTATCACCCTCCAGAGATGCATACGTGCAGTACCAACTACCACCTGTGTAAGGGCAATCTATGAATCAGATGCAGTAATTTGAAATTTGCTGATTTTCTGATATGCGTTAGCTTTATTCGTGTGTTATTGGCTTTATTCGTGTTATCGAACCTATTAGTGATTTTTTGGTCGTATGGTTTCTGCTTTTTTTTTCCAACCTAAGTCGCAAATATTTTTGCGACTTTTGTTGCGACCAAGTCGCAATTATTGTTGCGACCTAAAGCAACAATTTTTGCTGCGTCGAATGTGCTGCATCGAATTGGCAATACGATATTTTGTTGCACCTTTGATATTTAGATGCATCTTTACGGCTTATTGATATCATGTGCTTTGACATTCGAATAGTTATAAGTTTACACAGTTGCTGCATTTTTAATTCATCAAATGAACCGAAAAAGCTATTTGTTTCAAACAACTTAACAATAATAAAATCTCGATTTCAGAAATTTTCTAACTCACTATCTCGCAATTTTTTTGAAATGCATAAATTTTACATAATGTGGCTTTATGATTTGCGATTTTTTACCTGCAAAATTGTATCTTTTTGTATTTGATGCTACTTTAGCGATCTCCAGTATTTTTTTAACTCTGTTTCTTCGAATGATTTAGTTTTCTCAAAAAAGGCCAATTTAAGTATTCAGAAAATTTAGTGGCTTTGAAGGCAATGTGTTTTTTTTTGTAAATTCGAAGTTTCAAAAAAAAAATGTATTTTAGATTTCCTTGTTTTTACTCCAGCGATCAGATTATTGTATAATTACGAACCTTCTTTTTTCTCTAACCTAACTCGCAAATAAAAGTGTTCATTTATTTTTGGAAGTTTCACTGTAGCATCGGAAATTGCATAACATATGCGCTCTGTTCTATTTGTGGCTAGTGTTTAGCTTCCGAAGGTGAGTGGTTATTGTGCGAGACTCTTAATCTCCGGGTCGCAGCTTCGAATCTTAATGCTTTTTATAGATCCGCTCTTTCACTTGTTCTCGCTAGTGATTGAAAAGTTGTTACTGTCTGTTGGTTGTGTTCAATTACGCAAGCGCAGTTTTGTATTCAAATAAAAACCACTTGTGTTTACCCAAGTGAGCTAGTGAGGGTAGTGTGATATGACGAATTCCACTTTTTCCGACCCAAAAATGGAAAATAAAAAATGGAGTTGAATAGTATGATTGTGTTTTAAATAAAAAAATTGTACCCATTATTCGAATTATACTAATTATCAAAAACCCCAAACGTTTTTTTTTCAACATGAGTCACAATTGAAAGGGCTTTGATTTTTCAAGAGGAGTTTGAATTTGCAATTCAATAGCATTTGTTTTGACATTCCATAAGTAATAAGTTGCCACAGTTGATGCATTTTGTCATTTGATGCATTTTGTCATTTGATGCATTTTGGATATCTGTAATTTTTATATTTAGTGTAATTTTCGCTGCATAGCATTGGTAGTTTATTGGCATCTGTAGCTACTTTTTTGGTGGCAGGTGCGTGAACGTGAGACTACAGCGCTAAAGATTGGAGTTTGGCATCCGACACGTAGCAAAAGTTCTGTGTTGGCTACGCTACCTATTTTTGTGTGGAAAAAAGTTAAACAACAACTAAAACTCACTCTCAGACAAAAGTTCGTCCCAACTTTCAGTGGCTGGAACAAAAATGTTTTTATTTAATATAAATTTAAATTAAAGAATAGCTCTCTCACTGACCGCGCCAAATAACACAATGGTCAAAAAGTGTATAAGATTGTCAATTAATTAATGAGAAAAAGAGGAAACAGGTGCTACATTTTAAAATCAGTGAGTACTATAGTATTTTACTGTTCATTTTCATTAGATTGTAGAGTTAAAATTTTCGCGCTTTGTTTGGCGCTTTCGTCTAATCGAAGTAGAAAAAAAACATTGAAATTGATATCCAGCGTACCTTTCAAGTTTATTTAGTGTAAAAGAACGAATTGGTTTTCATTTATATAGGTCTTGATGATTTTTTGTTTGCTTTTTTTGTGCAAAAAACTACAAAATTCCCTTCACAGCGAAACTACCGTAGGCAGAGGTTCAAACTGCATAGACTCGGATTTTTTCTCCTTCGAAGTTTCTCTTTTTTCAAGACTGATTGTTTAATTTATCCATTTAATTTATCCTTCTAATTATTTCAGTAAGTAGGAAGGAGCTTTGTTTTCTGGTGTTTTGATAAGTCAAGGTACATAGTGAAGACACTTATATAGGTCATTAATCTATTGTTATTTTTTTTTCAGGAAAAGTAAGAATTTAAAATTTTATTCATGCTCAAGTGTGATTTTTCGTGGTTTAACTATTGATTTGTTTTCAAGTTCTATTTAAAAAGGAGTACAAACTCCTGTATCGAGCCGCAAGAGGCTAAAGGTCACGGAAAATTCAGCGATTTCAGGTTTCGAAAGTGGATTTTAATTTTTAGACTGCCCAGCGGAATAAAAAATACGAATTGATCCAGTTTTCTCAATTGAGTTACTTTCATCTAAAGATTCAGTCATAAATTGTTTTGAAGTTTTGCATTCGTTGACTCGTTTCCAACTCTCTGTTGTCTATGTATAAGTACAAAAACAGATATCACAAAGAATCGTCAAATAGGATTGAGTGAAATAGGATTGAGTGAAATAATTTATGGGTTTTAAGCTATATATTTATATTTTCTCCATTTTATGATTATGATAATCATGCTATGGGAAATTTGTTGTATGCTGGCTTGCCAGTGCTGAGTTCAATTATCTGTGTAAAATAGGCTCGCTTCTCAAACTCGGTTGAGATTAGATAAAAATTAAAGACACCAAAAATTGCTCAGAATTTCACCAGAATTAACATAGTGCAATTTGTTTTCATAGCCGAAATAAGTCATTTTGGCTTTTTTAAGTTAATCAAAAATTACGTTGAAATTGTCGAGTTAATTGATGAAAAATTTGTATCAAAAGAAGCCTTCTATACAATCCGACAAACTAGAAAAGTAAAGTCTTCAAAAATCTGTAAAAGAGACTATATTTTTGGTTGATAACAAATTTTACAAGCTTTACGCAAAGTTTTTGAAGATTTGTCATTCTAATACCTTGTAGAGCTGTGTAGGAGGCTTCTTTTGATATAAATTTTTGATCATTTAACTCTTGATTAAATGAAAAAAGCCAAAATGACCTTCTTTTGGGGAAAAGTTTTGACTGCGATTTGGAAAACAAATTGCACCGTATTCACTCTGATCAAATTCTAAGCAACTTTTATTCTATTTACTTTTCCTTATCTCAACCCAATTTGAGAAACAAGCCTTTGAAATATCAAGTTTTGTTCGCTGTGTCTGGTTGATGTAAATCAGCACTGTATTTCCTCTATCTATAGGCACAACGCTTTTTAATTTCATGCGAAATATAATGTAGTCGGAGTCTTCTGTGCTACTTGCACAACAACGGGCTCTTCTTGCAAAATATAATAATGGAAGCTTTTCGAACTCTAAACGATTTTGACATTTACTAGACTCGATAGGTTCAATTCTTTGTCACGGATGTATTTACAGCACAATCCTATTGTAACTGGTTTGAATTTTGTGGCAATTTAATATACGTAGAAGTTTTGTCATTCGTAGTTTCTTTGTTGCAGGTCGAAATCGAGGTCAAAATCAGTGAAACCCGGAGACACAACTTCTCAGAAAGAATTAACAAAAGACACTAGTGGTAGACCAAGTCATTTGACGACAAACTCACAAGAGATGATTTCAACTATACCAGAAGTAAACACACCTCTGGGGACTAAAGATTCTGAAGAAGAAAATAAAACAAGAAATAAGTTTTCTGAAAGCTCAGAAGCGTCGCATAACCACGTAAGTAATTTCAATGTTAAAAAATCTTGAGGTTAAAAGTTTCACGGACATCCAATTTTTCTCAGTATTACGATGATGATCGCGCTAGATTTCAGAGCATTGGCGTGAGACTATGGATTATCTCATTGGCTGAACATTGTTCTTCCAAAACGGAGCGTAGTTTCTTATTACGGTATCAATTTTTCAATTAAAGGTGCTCAATTTTGAATTTTTATATCAGAATATTTTTTGCGGCATAGCATTATGCTTTTGTATATTGGTGGCTGAATCCTGTTTGATTACACTAGCAAGCAGCTAGAGTAATAGTACGAACCTTCTTTTTTTCTAACCTAACTCGCAAATTAAAATGTTCATTAAAGTGTTCACTTGTATGGAAATTTCACTGTAGCATTGGAAATTTCATAGCATCTGTTCTCAGCTTTATCTGTGACTAGTGTTTGGTTTTAACTAAGCGTCAGTCGCTGAGTGGTTAGTGCCTGATATAGGTCTAAGTAGGTAGTAGGCTCAACGAATCCGCGATTTAGCCGAATTTTTACTAATTATTCGCCTCTCCGTGGAAAACCTAGATTTTTTGGGGATGTGGTATTTTTGTTTGATTAAAAATCAATGAACGAAAATTTTTTTTCAGGCTCAATAATTTTTTTCGCGGTTTGACTTTCTTTTTAAGTTCAGTTTGTTTGTTAAAAGGAAGGCAAATGTCTTTTTTGAACAGCAAAAGTGTAAAGGTCACGTAAAACGTGGTCGAATTCTAGTTTCGAAAATGGAATTTACAGTTCGAATTTCCCAGCGAAATATAGAAAATTTTGTCTTCCAGTTTTTTCAAATTGGATTAAATTTATCAAAAGTGTCAAACATTATCGTTCCCGAAGTTCAAACAGCTTAAAAGGCGTCTTATTTATTTGAAATTCGAAAGTTGAGATTTTTCAACAACATTTTTTATATTTTTTTTGCGTTCGTTACTCTTTTGTTTCGTTGTTTTTGAGAAAAAATCTTACAATTTGTTCAGGCGCAAATTTAATTTTTGCGGTTTTTTGACTCCTGAATTTCATTTCATATATTTGGTTTAAAGGAAGGTAAACTCAACTATTGAACAGCAGAAGTGTAAAGTTAACATTGAGTAGGCATTGAGTAGCTACGCTCTTCTAAATTTGAGAAAAAGGTTTCAATCGAAAGGACAGGTGGTAGGAGTTTTTCTCTGCATTGCGGCTACCATCTATTTTTTTTGTAGAAAAGCCTTGTTGCTAAGGAAAAGTACATGTTTAGAATTGCTGACCGTTTTGGGAGACGTTTCTTCTAACCTACTCTGCCAAATCAAGTTTTTAATGTTTAGTCGTAAGAACTTGAGCTGGAAACTTTCTCATAATAGCAGCTGGGTCCTATTTTTTGACAAGCAATTTGAAATGCCCTAATGAAGATTGGCAAGACGACTGAAGAGCCGAAGGCTCGAAAGTCTCTGTCTTGCTAAACCTGTAAAACTCGTCACAGTGTCTCCGAATGGCGATGGTGTCTTTCGTATTGCAAAGACGTATAGATAAATCGCACTCATCATGGCATCTCGGGCGAGAGTTGTGTGCGCAATGATGCCAGTGAGCTTATCGCTGATAGTGATCAATTGAAGGCGTGGGTTGGACACTTTACCTGACTTCCCAATATAGTTTGATAGCCCAAGTGAAACCCTTTCAAAGACTGCGTCGATTGCTGGACAGCAGCCTGAAAGATCGTCAGCTAGATGAAGGGTGCCAAAGCCGCTGGGACGCTGCTACTCAGCTGTTGTTGCCTAGCATTGTTGCTGAGATGTTGGAAGCACCCGGAGATTGTGGTGTCGAGCTGATAAGGCAACAGGCTATTTTTGAACATGGCATGTTCCCCGCATATTGGGAGAAGAGCAACATCCTGAACCTTCAAAAAGGCAAAGGAGAGGCACTGAATTGTTGCAATTATCGAGGAATAAAATTCACAAATCAAGTCATGAAGCTAGTCGAACGAGTGCTCCTTGTCCTAGAGGCTCTCTCACAGCAATTAATCAACGTAAAGGCGTGCCTTGGCAGCTCCTCTATGCAAATGACTCACTTCTAATAGCAGATACGCTTGATGAATGCATCACTAGAATCAGGATCTGGAAAACTGGAACAAAGGTGTGGGAGTCAACATAAAAAAGACAGAATTCCTGATCTCAATCATCCGCCTTGGTCTCCTCGAGGACTCTGGGAAGTACTTTTCTGCTGTCTGTCGTAAAGATGCGGGAAGCAAGCTGTGGGTTCACAAGAAATGCTGCGGAATACCAGGCTGGCTGGTAGGACCCAGAATATGTTTGCCCCAGATCACTGGATTATCGCGGCCTATCGTTGGTCGCCCTGAAAGTGATTCGAGTATACGGCCTTACGCTTGCTGATAAGTCCACTTTCTGCTGCCTGAGTGACATGTTCAATGCTGGCGGAGGCTGTGGTCGTGCAATTGCTGCTCGATGTTGCTATGCAGAAAACTACTCCCTGTGGTAAATTCGAAGCACATCTCATTTAGAACACGTGGAAAAATGTATTTTTCTCGTGTGCGATCAATGATGCTGCACGTAAGGAAAAATTGGGGTCCCATCGTAGCAGATTTGCAAAGATGGCCCAGGCGCACTTCTTTGTAAACTCGGATTGTGTGATATTCTCAACGTCCGTCGGAGCTGATGCTTCAGATGGTTTTGACATGCTGAGTGCGCTCCCTCAGCTTCATGTGTCAAATTGGCCAATGAAGTGACGATTTCATCCATCAAACGTTGTGGGAGACCCAGAAAGACTTGGTTAGATTGTGTGAAAATGATGTCAAGAAACGTTGACTTACCCACACTGACCCGCAAGACCGTATATAATGGAGAGCTGCAGTACGACATTGCCTGGTGCTGTCAACCCCATCTGATAGGACATACCTCATCAAATCAAAAATCGGATATGATGTTGATGGTGAAGCAATGATGCAAATTTTTGTTCGTGCTACCTTTTTGTTTTTCTACACAAATTTTATTTTTTTACCTCTACTTTTTGCCTTTTTCTCGCTTCTGTTTGGAGAGTGCAGCTTAGCTTCTAGGTGAAACCTACAAATTTGAGAAACTTTTTAGTTGCGTTTTTGAGTTTAGATCTAAACATAAGAACTGTTTAGGCCGATGAAGAGAAAGACGATATCAGTTTCTCAGAGCATAGTGGATCGAAGTTCGACCAGTCAATGAGGAACTCATTCCATGAAACAGACGCTGATGTCACATTGTCATTCGAAACAGAGCTGGACGATAAAATACCTGGTCACCGGGTTACTGAAAGCAGCGATAAACTATCATCCGAATGTCAAAACGGCGAAAAAAGCAAGACTTTGGTGGATCAAAGTGAAATTATAATAAACAAAACAACAGTAGCATCATCGCAAAATGACCAAAGAAGTACAGAAGTTGTTGAAAATCATCCTCTGGTGATGCATGAACTTGATGATAAGTCATCATCTTCGGGGGATCATCAGGGTGAAGTGAGACAGGAGAAGAAAGCGAAAGTGAACCCGTTTCTCTGCGACAATGCAGACAACCAACCGTTCACTTCAGCTGAGGTATCATTGTTTTTTTGGGTCTGGTCATCATCGAATATTTGCCCAGTATGGCCTTTTTTATGGGCGTACCGTTGTCAGAAAATTTATAAAGGTGCCTAATAATTTTTTTAAATGAGCTCCTTTCAATGGAATAAATCTTGGTGCTGGATTGCAGTAACCATCGTCGTTGGAAGTGTGATGACCGTCAATAAGAATACTTTCAATTATGCTGGTTGCTTCAGTGTCTCATTGAGCAGGAGCGTCTTGCTCTGCGTGACTTTGAACACTGGCTAACTGAAGTGATCCGAGGATACCCCAGAATAGGAGACACTGGAGCTTCTGTCATCATGACCCTGGATCCGAACAGGTCGGCTGACATGTCCAGCAGTACTCATGGCCAGGATGCAACTCATGACTCAGACTCAGTTCAACTCACATGTGGAATGACGTTGTGTGCGGTGCTGCATAGATATTACCCGCAACTCATGTGAGTCTGACTTTTTTGATCTGTATTATTTATGGAGGACAAACCACTCAATAACACAAATATCGATAAATCAGTGATTTTTTTCTATGTCAGTAGCCTTATTCCGTCTAAAGAGTTACCTATGTCAATTGTGGATTAGGGGTGGGTTGGAGAATTCGACGCCGCCGCCAGGTGTTCGACTCCTTGACAACCTAAAGGATCCTCCCTTTGGTACTATTTGAAGACATCCAATTTCTGCTTATGTCTTACTCTTAAGTTTTTCCATGGGCGTCAAAAAACTTATAGATAAGCTTTTCTAGGGGCGCCATAAAATTTCTAGGGGTAGCTCACACCAAAAAAAAACAATTTTCTGGTCAAAACCATCCAAAAATTCTTAGAAGCGTAGTTCTTACCGTTATATCAAAAAATTGCCTGCGGTGCAGAAAGCTTGTCTTAAAATAGTCTTTCTAGTGTTTTGGAAGAGCCCGGAAAATCAATTTGATCAACCCAACAATGAATTTCGCAAAATTTTTGACGAGCCGCATCGCGAGTCTAGATTTGGCTCGATCTAGGTCACCTTCATCGCATTCTAGTTAATTAAAAAATTGTTTTGAAATTAAGTTTGTCATGTTGTTTCGGCTGCTGTGCTTCAGAGGGAACTTCAACTGGCTGTTGGAAGAAAACGACACTCAATCGGAAAAGTACTTCAAGCTAGTGAGTTGATATCGAATTAATGCGTTAACCATCTAAAACGAGGAAGATATTTTCACCAGTAGTTTAGCGCTATTTTTGAAATAATGTATATTTCGGAAACTTGCATGATTTATTTTGAAGCACATTTCCAAGATTGAAAACGGTCCTCATGGTTCTTACAGGAGCATTATTTCGCTAAATCGCTAATAAGTTAAGCTTAATATACAAATCGGACTTATTATCACAATTAATCTCCCAACTAAACGAGTTGTTTTGAAACCTTTTTGCTGTCGTATCGGTTGTTTTGCTTGTTTTGATGCCCATTAAGCGACCATGTCTGTTCACACCAAGTGGTCTCCCCTACCAGGCTCCGTGCCAGTAAAGCCCCCTTCATGCGAACAAATTGTAGCCTGGAGACACCCGCCGAGCGTGTTTCTGCTCTGCGTGACTCGCCTTTTAACTTGCACCTTTTGTTTGGAACATTGTATTAAAAATAACAAATTTCGCCAGTTGAGGTTAACAATTACCTTCCTGACTTTACAACTAAAATATGACTAGGAAAACAACGAGGTAAATTTTGGACTTGGGGAAAACAAATTTGCAGCTTAACAGCATTAGTTAATAATTAATAAGTTTTTAAAAACATCTTAGGAAAACTGGGATTAAAACCGCGAAAATATGTAAAATAAATATTTGAGCTATTAAGCGGAGAAAAATAGATTTTTAATACATGCATCAATTTATATTTTGAAAATAACTTTGATTTTGTTTTTATCTATGTGAGATGGGTGTCATTTTGTCTTTTTAAATGAGATTTTACCTCCAGTGTCATATCGTATCCCGATTTTCCCCTTCTCTGAAAATATCCCGATGTGATGTTGACATTTAGTACTAGTCTATCCCCCCTGTTGCTTAAAAGGACTTGTGCCTTTACTTCCTCTGCTAGTACAGAAAGAGTACAGTTTCCGTCCAATTAGTGTTCAGTATCCGCCAGTAATTAATCCGCTTATTGTGCTCTCCGTCCGCAATTAAGATTAAGAAGGAGGCGAAATGTGATAGGGCACTGGCCAATTTCCCCTCATGGAGGGATGCAGTTTTTGATAAAGGTGGAAGAGCGTTTATTGTGTGTTGATTGGCTAAGCGCCAGAATACGAGTCCAAATATAGGTTTGCAGTCCATAATTTCGTTTGAGTGGTGTATAAGTCCATCAGGAATGAAAAAAATCTGAAACACCAATATTAGTATGAACCGTTTTAAAGAATCAATTTTTTGGTCGAAACCTCTGTTAAGAGTGACCAAGGAAATTTGCGCGTTGATTGTATGTGAAGCAACATTTCATTGCCCAGAAAAATAACAAAAAATTCACATGAATTTTTGTGATACAACAGCGGCTCTCTATAAGAAGCAAACAGCTCTTTTGTTAGTCGTTCCTCTGATGGTGTAGTGGATGGATGATGAGGTGGATAACAAATTGGGGTCTTTTTGAGGTGCCAAAAGAGCTATGTAAACTCGTGTATTAAAAAACAACAGGTTCTTTGCAAAATTCCTTGGCTGTGTTTTTGAGAGTCGATGAACGTAGTTCAGACTCCTATATAGATCGTGATGATTTTTCGTTTTTTTTTTTCCAGGAAACATCTCTCTATTTGTTCAGGCTCAATTTAATTTTTCGAGGTTTGACTTTTTATTTTTTTTAAAATTCAATTCAGTTCCTTTGTTAAAAATCCACTATCTAATCCACGAAGGCAAAATCCACTAACAAATAGCATGAAAAGGGATGATCGACTTCTTGGTTCGCAATTGGAATTTGATTTCAGATTTTTCAGCGAAAGAAAAATTTCACCTATCGATCCAGTTTTTTGAAATTGAGCCAATCAAAAAAACTTCTTCAAATTCAAAGGGCTTTAAGGGCATCAATTTTTTTGTTTTAATTTCGAAACTTGTTTATTAACTCTTTCCCGACCATCTAATGGCTATGTTTAATAACGATTGCTTGTCATTTTGACACTATGCTTCAGAATCTTTTATAGATCGTGATGATTTTTTTTCAGGAAGATTGTTGATATGCTCTAATAACAAAAGAAGTGCAGTCATATTTTAAATGCACATTTGAGTGCCCTTAGCTGTATGTTCATTTTTTGAGTTCAAAACAAGGTAGGCAAAATGCACTCTCTATTTATGAAATTATGGTTTTCGTTTTTTGTGCTATAATTTGAGTTCACTCTTTGAACCAAACGCGCATATTAAGTGTTAAAGAACGAAGTTATTTGTTCAAATTCTACACGTTCAATCATTTCAACCAAATTTGTTTCGATTTAGTTTTGAAATTTGGTGTTCATTTTTATTTAGTAGCATATGTTTCCTCCACCTTAATAAAACGCATACATTGCTGCCTGCCATTTACTACTTCGATGTGATAGGTTTAAAAAGAATTTGATTAGGCAATTGAATCTTACGTGTTATAGTATGGGGCCACTTGTGAATTAATTTCTTTGTTAAGAGTGATAAATGTAGTGAGTACTCCTATATAGGTCTTGCTGATTTTTTTTTGTTTTTTTTTAGGAAAAAGTATCAAAATTTGTTCTCGCTCAATTTGAGTTTTTCGCTGTTTGATATGTGATTTTTTTCAAGTTGGGTGCATTTCCATTGGCAAACTCGACTATCGAACAGCAAAAGTGTAAAGGTCACGAAAAATGTGATCGAATTCTGGTTTCGAAAATGGAAATTAATTATCAAATTGCCTAGCGAAATAGAAGTTTTGCCTATTGATCCAGTTTTCTCAAATTGGGTTAATTTTAACATAAAAGTGTTCATCATAAATTGTTCTACAAATTCAAGAGCTTTCAGTTCGTCTATTTTTCCTCCAAATTCAAAAGTTGAATGTTTTTGAAAAAAAAAACAATTTAGTTTTGTTTAGTTTCCTTGCGTTCATTACTCTTTTCCAACTGTCAGTTGGCTATGTTTTTTAATTAGGTGCAGCCGAGTTTTAATAAGGTACTATGTTACTGTGTTAATGAAAATGTGCGGTTTCCCTAATTAAGGTCTGATGTTTTTTCAAGACAAAAGACTGAGCTTCGAAGCTCACTTTCCAAATTCTTTTCAGACTTCTAGCCGAAATATCTTGATCGTTCAAAAAAAAAACGTTTTGTTTTGTGGAGCTTGATTTTCAAGTTTCGTTCAGAGGCGAAGTGGAGATTCGCATCACTTGTACAACAATGAAAGTGTAGCATTGCAAGCTATCAAATCGAACGTGAGATGGAAATCACTAAGTCGAAAAAATTTTTATAAATCATTATTTGGGAAAAATGAAAAGTTAGATTTCAGCAAAACAGACGAGAAACAACCACTAGCATTAAGCAAGCTTCTAGTGTTTTCCGAATGTCCACTAAGCCAATACTTTTTCCCGAAAACAATTTTTCTTACAAACTTGTAAGAAAATGGTAATACTTTATTATCCAACCTTGGCACCTAGACGCCCATTGATCCGAAATAAAAAATTACAAAAGAAACTTCGGTCAAAAAATTTTGAGCCTATGAATTATTTGAGTTTTTTTTACTTTTAATACTACAACCGACCTAATTAATGCATAATTTTAATAATAAACGTTTTTTGGCCTTCAATCGCTGAAAAATAAGCTCACTAGAAACCGACAAAACATACGCCGAAATCAATTAGGTAGATTAAATTTCTACAACAATACAATAAAAGACCGAAAATCTACCAGCGTTAGTAACAAACTACAGGAGTTAATCAACGACACTCGAGGCTACCGTGAAAACTGCTTAGTGCAAAAATTTACGTGGTGCGGCAGGTAAGCCGACAAAATGTAGCCGGCAAAATTAATTTAGATCAATCAATTTTTCCCAGAAAAAAAATTAAATTTCAGACACTGAAAAAACACCGAACCCCAAACTATAGAGCGCAAAGACATCTGCATTACCTCCAGTAAAAATAGAATGGGGCCTGGAAGGTGCCAAGGGTGGATAATGGATAATAAGGTAACATCAATTTCTTTTAATTTTGTAAGAAAAGTTGTTTTCAGGAAAAAAAAAGTCTTGTTCCCGGTTACAAGACACTTGCTCTCGCACATGTAAAAAGTAGTTAGTAGTGTATCATCCCTAATGGAATTCAAAAATTATCTTCAGTTTAGTTTGCTCAAATGGGGTTAGCTTAATTTTTTTTATAAATGGGTCATATCTCTTATATATCAAAAAAGAATATAAATCGAAAACCAAAGTAAAGTAATTTTTATTTCTTTAATTGTAACAATGCACAATGATTCGACCATAGTTTTTAAAAAGTTCAAAAAAAACTGGTTTCCCAAATTAGTGTCGTTTTTCTGAGTGGTTTGTTGAAATGGTCTGAATAAAAAAAACTATAACTTGAAACATGAAAAAAATATATTCTAAATTGTTTTCTAAATTTTTGCACTAAAAATTATGAAAATTATTATGACCAAAAAACTCTTAATAAAGCTTTCGAAACTGGGTTTCTTTTTAGTGAAATCATGTTTTCTTTAGCCTAAATGGCCAAAATTTTTGTATAACGAACGTTACTCGATCGCTTTACTCGATCGAAATTAGACTTAAAAATCAATAATTTCAAAAAGTTTTTTTCTCGACACTGATAAAATTTCTTAATGTTGTTCGATTGATGACTGAAAAGACGTTAATATAATATACAACTCGACCCATTTCGATTATTATTTGTGGTACCTGATTTAATTTAGCGTGGAAAACAAAAAAAAAGAAAAAAACTAAAACACCAGAATACAAAGTTCCTCCACATTATTCAAATAGTCGGAACTTTTAGCTAAGCTGAGCCAAATGCTACTAAAACGAATTTTGTTTACTTACTTTGTTAGCTTGAATTTGAACTAAAAATCAAAAATCTCAAACCTGTTTTTCTCGATACTGGCCTACTTTTTCAAAATTTTTAATGCCGCTCGAATCACGACTGAAAGGCTCTAATATGATATTTCACTCGACGAATTCTAAGAATTAGAATTATTTGTTGTACTTGATTTTGCATAGAAAAAAACAAAGACAGCAAGTTGATGTGCAAGTAGCACAGAATGTTACGACTATGTTCATGAAAAAAATATATTTTTTTTACTTTTCAAATAAGTGTCATGTTTAGTGGGTGGTATGTTCCGAGAAGTTCACGACCACGTAGAAACTTAGTAAGTTAGGCATGGTTAACAACATTTGTCTTCAAAAATAAAATAAAAAACAAAATATTGGAAAATATTCATAACAAATTTCAAATTTTCAAAGTTTTCGTACAATATTTTAAATTTTGTTTCAAAATACTTTTTTTGCCTAACAAGCGCTAAGTATAACATTTAAAACTATTGTTCTATATAGCTAAATCAAGTTTTGCATCAAAAGTCAAACTGTAAGTTTCCATATAACGAGCGTTACTCGCTCTAATTAAGACTGAATCTCAAAAATCTCGGACCAGCTTTTCTCGACAATGGGAAAAGTTTCTGGAAGTTTTTTTCAATGTCTTTTCAAATCACGACTGCAACGGCTTTAATACCATATATCACTCGGCCCATTCCGATGTTTTTGTGCTACCTGATTTTGCGTAGAAAGCAAAAAAAAATGAAACCAATCCGAATACAAAGTTCCTCCACATTTTCAGTGGTCAGAAAAACAAGGATAACCGGTTACTGTGCATGTAGTACATAATGCTTCCAACCTTGTCTTGAAGATACAATTTAGCGTTTTTTTTACAAATTAACGTTGTTTTTTCAGAGCTTCGGAATATTCGACATTAATGGTATAATAACCAATTTGGAGTACAATTTTTGTAGAAAATGGACAAGAGAAACAAACATAAATTTTTGGCAGTTTTAGTTTTTCGGAAAATATCAGAAAAATACCGACCGATTTTTCTCATTAAGATTTTTGTTGATTTTTTTTTCAATACGAGGCCACATTTGAACGCCTACGAGCATCCTTTTAAGTAGTCAAAATTAGGCAAAGAATTACCCTAAGTCATAAGTCTTTCACTCACTTGACTTCGTGAAATTTAGCGGAACAAATGTGCTTACTGATCCGAGTTTCTTAAATTGTGTCTGAAATTATCAAAAACATGTGCGAAATTGATGAAGATGTATGATCGATCGTGCTTTGTTTCACATGAAAAACGGGGAAGTGGGCTGCTAAAGTCAAATCATCAAAACGAAAGTTTTTCAAGTAAAATTTTGCTGCCACTGAGGAGAAACCTCTCACTTAAAAAGTACCCAATAACCACGTGGCTTTCATTTTCTTTAGTAAATTGACTTCACAAAAAATCTCAATTCCAACCAATAGTAGGCCAAGTTTAAATGAATCCAAAAAATCCGAAAAAGAACAACTAATTTTTGTGGAATTTTGTTTTTCGGTTGACTTGAGGTCATTAATGTTTTTGTTGACTATCTTGTCCATTTCTCCGAGAAATCCTTTTGAGTTTGCACTTAGACCTCATTGATTTGGAAAATATCTGCGACTATTTGTATTCAATGAAAGGAATTTGAAGAATCTTTTCCGATCGGAATTACAGAGAATTTTACATTTTTATTAGTAACTAATTTCGAAACGTCTGCATAGTGTTAACTTCCATTGTATGATAATAGTCAGTTTTCGATAGGTATAATTAAATTGGCGAGCGTAAGATTTCTTTTTGCAAAAATTGGACATTTCCATTCCAAGTGATAGTTAAAAAAGCAAGTTCTTTCATATTCAGGTACACTCGCAAAAATAATTCCCTCTTTTGTCTTGTCTTTTTTGTTTTGAATTGTGTATGGCTTTTTAGTTACAAAGAATTTTAATAAAGTCCCCTTTCATTCAAACAGTCTGCTCTTTGCTGCAGCAATATTGCGCTAACAATAGGATTATGCGATTTGTCGGGATTTGGGGAAACTTCAGGTCCGCAACGACCCACCAAAAATCACTCGCCCCCCTTTTTCAATAACCACTCAATATTGGACAATCATATCATAGAGCTGTTGTTCAACCTACGTGACTGTATGTCTTGAATGAAATGACAGATGGTTGCCTCTGCGACTGCTGGTTCTTTTTCCTTTTTCGTTGATCCGACCCGCACCTGGTGGGGATTTCGAAGGGCATACTTCTGTTCACCTGCCCCGAGAAAAAATGAGAAGAGAGCTAGTTTTGTACTAACCAGAGTTGAACAACGTTATAATCCCTCCTTTGTTGATGCAGAAATAATCAATGTACATTTTTGGACCATTGAAATGCGACTATCCTGATTGATCATTCCTTAAATGGGATCAAAGATGAACAAAAAGTTGAAAAATGTTACAAGTATTAAAAATGAGAGTTTCGTGATCGTAAACTTAAAAGTGATGTAAAAGTAAGTGTTTGGAATGGTAAGATAAAGTAGTTGTGACAGTTAAGGAGCTCCGAGTAGTGAGAGGGTTTAAAGAAAGGAAGTGAATGAAGATTTGAAGTCTTTCCAATCCGATTTGACCAAATGAAAAGATCATTAAGGGCTTAATGGTTTAACTAGCACCAATTCATAGACTCCAGGACAGGTATTAGTTATAATACTTTGCAACTTACGCCAGCCTGGGCTCATAATGCTTCCTTCTTCTCTCTTCATTGAAGCACGAGAGAACAAAAATCACAACTGACTGAACTGTAGTGTAAAGTCGAGATGTGAGTTTCTGCCGTCTTTTTTCTTATCTCCCCTAAGATGGGTATTAGTTCGGAAAGAGGATTTCCGAAATGAAGCCAAGAACAATCCCTCCCTGAAAATCCTACTTTTCTTTACCGCAATCGAAAATCACGTGAACACTCAAGCAATCGTGCGAAAACTCGGAAGCGCATCGCGTTACTGAAAGAAAAAATATTTTGAAGCTAACTTTGCCTAATTTTGGTTACTTAATAAAATCGGTATCTTTTACCTGGTATTCTGAAAGGATTTAATGCTTGTCATTGTTGTCGTTAAAATTGGAAAACCTTTTTTGACATCGTGTACTGGGAGTTGTTTGTGTGTAATAATGTTTCGCTTATCACCTTAAAGTATTAATCGTGATCATCTCCGAAATACCCTTTTGGCAAACTTCTTAGCCGCGGATAAGAACAGATTACTTGCTTGTTCTAAAATTCTACCTCCGATAATACACGCAACGCAACCGTCACCAGGAATCTAAATGGTGCTTTGCAACCTGTACTTTCTCTGTTACGCACAACTGAAGTAAAAAGCCGTTAGAATTCTGAAAAATCGGAAACTTCCAATTATTTTATAGTTTATTCAATTTTTAATATTTGACCAAATAATGTTAAATAATGTTTCTTATCTTATTCAGTCAAATTGACATCTAATCATCAAAAATGTTTCCATTTTTAACAATATAGAGATGTAATACTTGGAAAAAACCGCTGTCAAGCAGTTTTCACTCATTAGAGTTTTCGAACATTCAGCTGAAATGGCTAAATTCAACTACTATAAGCATTGGTATTTTTTGGAAATCTTATGATCTAAGTGCATCTCAGGAACTTTAACAGTGCTTACTTTACAGGCTTTATCAACATGCGACATTGTCTCAATTCCGACACGAGGTCTAACCTCAGAACACCCATTTCAAATCGCGAAGCAGATCCACCTTCATTACGCCACACAACCCATCCCCCCACTGCCCGACTTTGGAGCAGCCACGGAACAGTTCGAGATCAAAGATCTAGAGAGGACAGAGGATATTAAGAGGAAGATCAAGGAGAGGACTTCGATTAGGACTAACTCGAAGGGACCGAGGAGGGTTCTGCCCTCGAAGGACAAGAAGGGTCATGGTTAGTAGTAATCATTGGATCTCTCTAACTAATCCGCCTCTATTACAAATAGGGGAATCTTTGCTGGGTGACTAACATGCTTTACCGCTAAGTAAGTCTAATGGGGGTAGATATTCTTACTAGGTACCATAGCGGGAATTATTCTGCAAAAAAATTTTATGGACACTATTTCAGGTTCCCACGTTTTTTAATCCACATCAATTCACATCTTTTCTCAACTGAGTAATAGTTTCCTTTCATATATTATAAATTGAGTGAAATTCCCTGTTTTTTTAAATTTTGAACGGAAAGTGTCAAAAAGTTCGTAACACGGCAACTTAGAGGTGCGTCATTTAAAAACAAGGAACGCTCGCTTGATGTCCTTGTGGCAGGAGAGGATATAGGGGGGGGGATGTTCATATTCGAACACCTCACCAACCAAATGGTATTATTTTACGATGACATCCATCCTTTTTAGGCCGACCAACCCAAAAGTTTTTCTAAATGCGCCTTTGGTGCAAAAATAGACGAATTTTTTTGAAGGGGAGCGCGCGCTAAATGAAAATAGGAACATAATAGTGTTCTGGGAGTGCTCGGGAAACCATTTTGGCGACCTTAAAACGTCGGCAAAATTTTCGAAAAAAATTGAAAATCTGCCCCCCTCCCGCACGAGAAAATCCTAAATCCACCCCTGCCTTGGTGCTTTTGTATTTTTTAAAAACTTGTTCATTGCTTCACATACATTCACAGATTAATTTGTTCGAGTTGATCCATTTTTTTAGGTGCTACAAGTGCTGTTGTTGCGTCTTCAACTGCTGATGAAGATGTTGCTACTGTATCGAATGCGGTGGAAATGGAAGAAAAGAATATCCCGATGGTGTTAAATGGCAGTGGACTTGGAGATTCGTCTTTGAAGTTAGACGATAAAAGAAGCTCAAGAGCCTCAACTATAGTGAGTGAAAAATTCCGCTGTATTCTCTGAATACTTTTCGAAAACGATTAGGATTGTTATAATAGTGGAGTATCAACATTAGAATACTGATTTCATCAAATATCGCATTTACTTCTATATAGGGAAAGAAACACAGGAGATGTTCAGCTCTGAAGGGCGAGCTGCTGTTGTCTCTCTCATAACTTCCAAACTTTTTTGGCTGGTTAAATTTTCTCCTCTTCTTGAGGAGCATCGGTAAAAGAAGCAGCGACCATGTTAGGCCTCATTAGCAGCCCTGGCTACGTGGGTGAGACGCGCGGCCTTTAATATAAAGGTCGTAGGTTTGAAATCCGCTTCAGTCACGTTTGGAGGGGGACCGGCTGCGGCAAAATGGATGACATCTCTCTCCCCCACGGAAAAAAGCTCAAGGTTGAATGGTGGGAGCTGGACCGGGGGCTAATAAAAATGGTGGGCCTCGAACCATTGGCCTCTCGTGGCTCAGTTAAATTTCTCACTTTTGTTGTAGATAAACCAGACACAGTCCGTAACTGAATCAGAAACGAAAGGGTCACTCGCCACAAATAAACTCGAATCAGGTCAGTTTTCATTTTTGAGAAAAACATGAGTGTGATAAAACAAACTTAATAACATAGGTCAACGGTTTGGAAAAGTGCAACAGATTGATTAAGATTTAGTTGAGAAATCTAATGATCCACTTCTCAGAACGCGCTCCTTCTCAAAATTTAATGAAGTTACTATCGATTCTGTTCACTTCTGTTCTTAATTTTGTAATAAAGTTTTCTACTTTTAATAGCGAAATCTCTGATGATGAATTGGGGTGAGTCCTTGTGTCTCTTTTCGTCTCATTATTTGACCCATTTTAACCTCAAATGTTTACATACATTCTTCATATTCTCTCTTGTCGTGGCAATTCTGAACTCGGTGTCCTTCCGATTCTGTCAGTCATTTGAGAAACTATTTTTTCCTTTCCAACTATGTCACTTATCAGATGCACCATATCTTCTTTGAATATCTTCATTTTTATCCCAAGTTTTCTGTCATTTTATCTCTTTTCTAGTTATATATCATTGCCCATACTTTTAAGGATCTACAGTTTTGGCACTGGTTTTTTAATCAAATTCATTTAATTGATAAAAACGTTTCCTTTGCTTAAGTAAATTGATTGCAGAGTGAAATTGACCTGTCAAATTTTTTGACTTCCGGAAAAATTATGGGGAAAGGATTATTTTTTTTATATCATGGAATATATGTGGCTTAAACAGAATACGTAAAAATCAAATTTTCCTTAAAATGTTCAGGAGCCAAGATCAAAGCGAAACTTGATGAGACTCAAACGGCCTCATCACAAGCTACGAGTAACAGTGCTACCAACTCACCCAAAGCTGCACCCAGAAACGGATCTCTTTCAAAAGATCCAATATTTATACCATTAGATGAACCAGAGGTCACGAATGAGCACAATGGAAGCAATAGTAACGACGTAACTTCATCGGCCCCTTCACAGGGTAAATTGAAAATGCTGACAAAAATGCACAAGCTGTACATTTTGCTACATTTTGACTAACTGCATTATGTACTACTTTTTTTCTATTTATTTAATTTTTTTATGAAAAATTTTATATTATTATCAAAACTTGTAGCGGTTGTATGCAAATTGGATCAACTTAAGACACGTCGTATGTAACACCTATTCTTAACGTGACAAAAGTTCCACTGGCATGATGTAATAATTTACGTCGTAGCCATCCTTAGATTTATTCAGAGTCGATAAACGTAGTTCAGACTCTTATATAGGTCGCGATAATTTTTTTAAGTTTTTTTTCAGGTTTAAATTAAATTTTTTACGGTTTGACATCTGATTTTTTTATTCAATTATTTAATTTTACTAAAAGGAAGGCAAACTCAACTATCGAACAGCAAAAGTGTAAAAGTGATCGACTTCTAGTTTCGAAAGTGGAATTTAAATTTCAGATTTCCCAGCGAAGTAAAAACTATACATATTGACCCAGTTTTCTCAAAGAGCTTTAAGGGCATCTATTTTTTCTTTGAAATTCGGAAATTGAGATTTTTTTCAAAGTCACTTTTCTGATTACTTGCGTTCATTGACTGTTTTCCAATTGTTGGCTATGTTTAACCCTATCTGGTAATTTAGCAGAAGGAGTTGATGAGAAAAGAGAAGAGCAAAGCAACAGTAAGAGTGATTATTATGAGAGTGAGGAGGCCATGTGTGAGAGTCTGAGACGCAACTGGCGCACCATGATTGGGAAGAAGCGACTGCTGCTGGAGAACAGACTCGAGGAAATCGACACTCTCCTCAACAAACTGAGAACTCAAATCACACAAGGTCATTATATCAATATCGTTCCTTTATCTTTTTGTGCTTAAAGCGTCGTGAGCGTTGGAATACCTCATACAGGAAGGTCCGAATGCGCAAAAATTTTGTCAATCAATCAAAGTTTAGTACATGCACTGTATTGAAATATCGAAAAAAAATAAGCGATGAAATTTTTTTGGACAATTTAAAGAGCGATGATCGTCTGAGAACTTTCGTGCAATCAGTCTTTCGCACATGATAATAGCCCGCGTCATTGGCTATTAGTAGAAATGAAGGTGTGTTGGTTTTTGATGTAAGATTAAAATCTCACTGATAGTACTCCCTGTTAGCGATTAGTTCTCCGAAACTGGACTGTTCCTGTTTTTCTGGTGCGCATTTGACAGGAAAACGATGACATTGAAAACATTTCGACCGCTGTGCATTGCAGAAAAATGCTACAATATCCATTTCCGTCGGTTGTTAGTTGCTTTTTTGGAATTTTTCTGACTTTTTTTAAATCTCAAGTCGTTTCGTATTTTTTCTTAAGACTGGAAGACTATTTCCTAATTTTTTTTAGATCAGACCAGAATTATTGTGGCTTTCGCCACTTTTTGAAGGATATTTTTAGTTTCCAAAAATATGGAAAGATTCGTTTAAACTATTAGTGTCCCCTGGGATCAAAGTGAACTGATTGAAGTATTTTGAAGATGCAAAGAGAAGTTTTAAGTGGAAACAGTGAAGGAATTTCTAGGAGGAAAAAATGGGGCAGGGAATAAAAGAACTAGCAGCACAAAAGGATGGAAATTTCGATTTTGTTTTGAAATTTGTGTAAAACTTTAATCCGCTTTTACAGTAGGGATAATCTGTACTTAGTTAATGCACAAGAAAGTCCAAAATGCATTATGGCGCATTTAGTCTATTGGCAAAACTCATCAAAATGCGAAAATACTAATCAATAACATCGATTTTTACATAAAACTAATCAAAGTTTCGTCTCAACTTATTTATAATTTACCTTCCATTACACAATAATATCAACTCACTTCATTGCAATTTTAAAATGCCAACTGGCTTTCCCCCCTGTTTTATGCTATTTAGTTCGTATTTTGCTTGAAAATGGAAAGAAATGAAATTAGTGTTTTGGGAAAATGAAATTATAAATGGAAATTAAAAATGGTTCTCCTCTCATTTTCACAACCTGTCCATGATAAGACGAGAAGGAACTAATCTAAAAAGAGATTGTTCTTTTGTGTAAGCTGCCTGGTATTGGATAACTGTGCCTCTAACAAGGACACCGTATATGATTAGTTGCTAGTATTGTGGCAATGAATAAGATTTGAACAGGAAAGTGAACTAGCTTCAGGCCAAGTTCTAAATTTAAAAATGCGACTTTCAAATTCGTAAAATTTGAAGATAATATTTTTGAAATAAAATTTGTCCAAAAATCAAAAGTCACTAATTTAGGTTATGACGAATAGAAATGACTGACTCTAATATTTCATTGGATTGGGATGAATTTTTGACGTTGTCTTGATCTGTGATATAGACGAAAATTTTTTTACTGCTGACTTTTTGGTTGAGCGACTAATTCAAAATTGCCGACAAGATTAGGGCTTCTTGAAGATTAGGTCCTCGCTCAACAGTTATTCATAAGAGAAGATGAAAAATGTTGGTCCAAATAAATCAATTTGAAAAGCAACGTTCGTTTTCTCAAATTTTTGTGTTCTTCGAAAAAATTAATCTTGTTTTATAGATGGAGTCACTGAAGAGGATATCATAGCAGGCAGTATGGAAATGATCACACTCACCAATGAGAAAAGCGACCTCATGCTGGAGTTCGACGACATCGATATCATGTAGGTGGACCAATAGATTGCCACAATTAGCTCGGGATGACTACAAAGGAATCATTATTTAACGTGTATATATCTAGAGGCTTACAACCTGAAAAAGCGAAAGCTTATATTGAAATTATGATAGCCTCAGCAGTTCTTGATGTCAACAATTTTCAGGGTAGTTGAAAAGTGTTGACGGCTCCTAAATTTTTAGTGAAGTGTTGACGGCTCCTAAAATTTTAATTGAATTGTAATTTTTAATCGGTCAACAACCGGCTATACCCGGCTTTTTTGTGTATGCAGGGAAGAGGATCTGGACCTACAGGAGAAGGCGGACCAGGTGAAGCACCAGTTGAGACTGCTGCAGATGAACAAAGAAGTGGAGGGCACAGAGGAGAAGGAAGAAGAGGAGAGACGACTGGTAGAGCTGTTCAGGTCGCATATTTCTCTTTCAGCCTCAATCACATGTCTTGTTGTTTAAAAACGCCCAGTTGATCCATTGGATCTCTACTGCTGACAAAAGCAATAAGTTTATAAATGCTAGGTTCAAGTTTTTGGCACATAAGGAAGGAAAAATACTGCTCATGTTGAGTAAGTCGAGAATGTTATTTAAAATATAGGGTTCGTCTCAGAAAAAAAAGTTGTTAAGATTTTCTCCATTCAAGGAGGTGTTAGTGCACCAAGTAGTGTTCATTTGGATCCTTCTTTTCAGATCCCTCATGGACGAGAGAAACGCACTGGTTGAGAAAGTGGACAACAGACGAGTGCGTGAAGGAATGGAAGATGAGCAAGACGAGGAGGGAGATCCAACCTCCAATGAGACAAATCAGAGCAAGTTCAAGTTCGCCACTGAGTTCCTAACCAAAGACTACTTTGACAAGTAAGTGTCAAGCAGAAAGCGTTACACACAAGACAGGTTTAAGAATGATTAACCAATATAGGTAGTTGTGTCATTAGACGAAGAGTAAACGAAACTAAGAATTTTAAAATAAAAACTTCTCACGAGTCAAATTTTGAAAGTGTTATTTGAGCTCTTTAACATCTTCTCCATCTCAATATTTTCATGAGACGTTTTAGAAAATAGTAAATTAAAGTTCGGTAGTGTCGGTCAAGCAAAGGGAAGAAACTTTTTTGTGCTTTTAATGCCCAATGTAGTTAGCAATTAATTTTTCATCAGGGCGTTCTCCTCGTGATTAACCAGGTGTGTATCCTTAACCACAGTTATGTAATGCATCCCTCATCAGTTTCGTATTGTGTTGCGAATCGCGATTATGTGACTTCGTTTTCTTTTCATTGATTATGATGACTGGCTTGTTTGTCTATTCTTTTTCACACGGATGCGTTTGTGTTTGCTCACAGCTGAAATTGCCGTTTGTAAATTGAAATGGCGAGTAACCTGAAATATTTATTCGTGGCTGTTTTTTACCTTCCAACTTACTCTAGTCTTTGACTAAATGGTATTCGATTTATGTCATAATTGAAACGTGATATTATTAAAAATCGATTAACGTAGTTAAGACTCTTGTATAGGTCTCAATGATTTTTTGGTTGTTTTATTTTTATTTTCAGGGAAAGTCTTTTTATAATTTGTACTGACTCGAAAAAACTTTTTTGCGGTTTGACGTTTGATTTCATTTCAAGTTCAGTTCATTTTCTTTGTTTACATTAGCGAGCTTGCGAGCGAAGTGTATTTGTACGAACCTCCTCTTTTTTTTAACCTTACTCGAAAATAAAAGTGTTCATTACAATTCTTCACCTATTTGATGGCCTTTTTGCTATAATCACGATCTGTAGCATTGGAAATTTCATAGCATCTGTTATCTGCTTTACTTATCGCTAGTGTTTGTGATTTATTAAGCTTCCGTGGCTGTGTGGTTAGTGCGTGAAACTCAAAATCTCTGGTGGCTGATCGAATCCGAGACGTAGCCGAATTTTTACTAATTTGAGGCTTATTTCTACTTTTTAAATGAAAAAGTCTAAAAGTTTGTTCAAGCTCAATTTTGATTTTTTGCGGTTTGACTTGTGGTTTCTTTGTTCAGTGCATTTTTTTGTTAAAAAGATGGCAAACTACTATCGAATGGCAAAATTGTAAAGGTCACGAAAAACGTGATCGACTTCTAATTTCGAAAATGGAAATTAAATATCAGATTTCCCAGCGAAATAAAAGTTTTAACTATTGATCTAGTTCTCTCAAATTGCGTCAATTTTAACAAAAAAAGTGTCCATCATAAATTGTTTTCCAAATTCAAAGAGCTTTAAGGCCATCTATTTTTTTTCGAAATTCAAAAACTGAAGTTTTTTGAAAAAACAAGTTTTTTTTCAGTTTCCTTACGTTCATTACTTTTTTCCAACAGTCAGTTGGCTATTTTTCTTATTGCACTTTATAGAGCTGCTTTTTGCTGTATTCTCGTTAGTGTTTGCGAAGCACAGCTTCGCTTCTGTGTAAAAGGAAGGCAAACTCCACAATCGAACAGAAGAAGTGTAAAGGTTGCGAAAAACGTGATCCACTTCTAGTTTCGAAAGTGGAATTTACTTATCGAATTTTGCAGCGAAATAAAAACTTTACCTAACGATTCAGTTTTCTCAAATTGGGTTTCTTTTCAAAAAAAACTGTCAATCGTCTATTTTTTTCTTTGAAATTCGAATTCGATTTTTTCAGTTTACTTGCGTTTATTGGCTTTTTTCCAAGTCTCTGTTGGTTATGTTTACACAAGCAAAGCTTGTGTGATTGTATGAACTATCTTTTTTCCAACCTAAGTCGCAAATATTAGTGTTCATTTTAATGAATAACCAGCTATTAAGTACAGCTAATTCTAATGATATTAACACATACTATTATATTACAATAGCACTTTACCTTCAAGGTATCGTGGATCTGTTGCTTAGAGGTAGGGAAGGAGACCCTCATAAAATAAGAGTGTTCGAACCTGGGCAGTTTTTTAATCAAAATATGCTTAAATGTTTTCAATGAACTTTTTCGCATACTACTTAAAATGCGTCTGCTCTAATATAAGCAATGATAGTTGGTAATTTTTTTTTTGAAATTGACTGGTACTGCTAATGCGTCATAATTGGCTTGTGTCACTTAGCAATTATGTAGGTTCATAATTGGCGTGCGTCACTGAAGAAATTTTGTAGACTCAAAGTTTTACTCATTCAGTGTTTCCCAGTAGCGTTATCGGTCATATTTTTGCTTGAATGCGATGTGCAACTTCGCCTCTGTGTTAAATAATAAAGTACAAAGACACTTTGTCTTAACATTTGTTTATACTGAATTTTCTATTTTGGCAAGTAGACTTTTTTTACACATGCGGTTCATAGTTGCGTGGGCGTGAAACTCCTAAGCTACATGTCGAAGCTTCAAATCCGGAACATAGAAATAGATTAATTTTCAAGAGTTTTGAACAAAGTGAAGATTTGTATATAGGTCTTGGTAATTTGTTTTTGTTTCTTCAGGTAAAAGGCTCATAAGTTCATCACGCTCAATTTTGAACTTGTGCGGTTTGACTTGTGATTTTTTTTCACGTTCACTCCATTTCCTTTGTTAAAAGGAAGCCACTCTCCGCTTGTTATTTCTTTCTAAGTTCACCCCATTTCCTTTGTTAAAAGGAAGCCACTATCCACTATCGAACAGCAAAAGTGTCAAAGTCACGAACAACATGATCGAATTTTAGTTTCGAAAATGGAATTTTGTTATCAGATTTTCCAGCAAAAGAAAAACTTATCGATCCGGTTTTCTCAAATTGGGTTAATTTTATCCAAAAAGCATTAAACATAAAATTCGAAAGGTTTCTGTTTCCCTGCGTTCATTAATCTTTTCCAAATGTCAGTTGGCTATGTTTTGTTTGGTGGCAGTCTTCATGCTTATTATTGGCAATTTAATAGGAATTGTAGCTGCTTATTGGTAGCTAGTGTTAGTAATTTTCAGTCAATTGTGGCGCAGATGCGTGACTACCAATTTTCAGTTTCTGGCACAGCGAAAGTGTTATTTTTCTTGGCTTGTTTTTCAACTTTTTTCCATATTTCACTTTGATTTTGCTCCTTAGAGCTATTTTGCCATTTTCTTGCTTCTGTTTGCAAATTGCAGCTTCGTCTCGGTGCAATTGAACGAAATAAAAAGACACCTATTTAGGTAGCGTGTTTTGTTTCGTGTTTCTTCATAGCCTGGTTTAGTGTTTCACTTGTAAGAGCTACTTTTTGTCGGTTTTTCGCTTGTGTTTGCGAAGTGCAGCAAAGTAGCACGGCCGTGCAGTAGAGACAGTCTTGAAAATTTTTTGGTTACTGTTTTGTGGCATAAATTTTCGTCATGGTTGATTTGTATTTTTTGATGCATGTTGAATCCCAAAATATACAAGAATGGGTATCAATTTTGCTTGCAACTTTTTTTTCTGAAAAACTCAAAATTTGATATGGCATTTGTATCAGTTGAAGAGTTAGTGTGCCTGAGTGAAGGTATGCAACAATTCAAGTGACTGGTGAAACGTATATATGATCATAGACTATTACAAAATTTTCACCTAACAAGTGTGTTCAGGAGGTATTGTAAAATTTTGTCTGTATTTTTTGTATGTTAGTAATAAATCTGTTTTGATTGAATTAATTGTTCACTTCATGGATGCTGATTTTTATTTCACTTTTTGCATCCCATTATTCTTGAATGTTATAGCGTTATTAGAACATTTGGTGTACTTTTTGCATGACTTTGTTGTTAATAGAATTTTTCTTTCCAATTATTTGTTCAGAAATTTTTCTTGGTTCAGTTTATAAGTTTATTGTTTTTTGAACATGAAAAAATGACATGCGCAGAAAATGGAATGACAGCAATAAAATGTGAAGAGGTGAAAAAAATAGTGTACGCGCAAATTTTCTATTAGAGAAATTTTGTTTTACGGGCATTGCTTTTCTCCAGGAAGAAACACTCGAAAATGAACTTGATGGAACAGTATCTGAAGTTCGCTGCATCTACCAGAATCTCAAACAGGGCATCTGTGGACCTGATTATAAATGGCACACCAAGCAATCACAGGACACTTGGCTCCATCATTAATAGCGTCAACATCAAGCAATTCAAAACTTCCGAAGACACTTCAGAAGATGGAAATGACGTGAACAAATGCGGTGTAATGTGAGCAAAAAAAAAACAGATTTAGAGCTTAAATGTGAAAATTTATGACCAAGTTTTATGATTTCTATCCCCATTATTTATTTGACCGGTCGATGGAAGATTGACGCGAAAATAGATGCAATTAAATTCAAACTGTACAGCTTAATAAATTTCGAATGTCTTTTTGGATTAAGTTAACTAATTTTTTGATTTATGTTGCGATTATTGTATTGATTGATTAGAGGTTATGTATATTTTAGTGTTTTTAGCTATAACCAGAGGTATTTAATTGAACATTTCAATTTTTTGTTTTAAGGAAAAATTGTCTTTGCTAAATTCCCGAGTTGCGGTGTGGACGGGATTTGTGGAAAACATTTCAAAAAGATTGTCGCTATAAATAATTTGTTTATTTTTTTTAAAGTACCTGAGATCAATAAAAAACTTCTCCGCCAGATTAGTACTTGTGCATAGGTGGTTTGTCCACGCGGAAAATTTGACAATTGACTTAATTTTACCAGTGGAATATGATCAAAGTCATTTTTCAAGAAAAATCATAACTATTACACATCAAAGAAAAAACAATTCCAACGATGTTCACGCCTATTTTGATTTTATTGCATCATTTTCCCTTTTAACCACAATCAAAAAAAAGTTTGTGAAACTTTGAAAATATAATTATTGAGACAGGTACTAGATATAATTATTGAGAAATGTACTCAAGGAGAATTTAAATGGAATGCTGGGAATATTTAGCGAAATGTAAATTTGAGAAAAAAGCTTTCAGCTAGAACTAAATAGCAACTAACGGTTAGTCTTTTGAAATTTGAACGTTGAATTTATATTCTCGCATAACTAATTGTGCTTTTCAATTTAGACGTGTTAATAAGGGGTGTGTTTTACATTTACCTGTAATTTAGTTGTCAAAAATCCGGTTCTTTGTGTTTAAAAAAAATTTTTCCACGGTCAATTTCTATTGCAAGTAAAGGAGTATCTATAAATCTTATTGCTCCCGGAAATATCCATACCAAAAAGGTCCCTTGATAGGCAGAGACAGTTTGTAACTAGGTGCTAATAATCGGATTCATTAATTATTAACTATTGTTAGAAGCTAAAATGGACCCATGCAAAGCTAAGGTTAAGTGCTTTTCAAAGTGACCGTCTTAAGGAAGTCTCTTCTCTTCTAAAAGCGCAAAAAGGTTTGTATTATATTGAAGTACAATAGTGCGTTATTTGTATCCTACTTGTTTAAGTACTAATCGCTGGATCAACGATAAGCCTCGCTAGTTTTACATTTTTCACCTGCAGAAGTTGGCGAAAAATAAAAACTAATATTAAATCTAATATTTAACTTCTTTTTTTAACCGTCTCGCTTCGCGGATGTTTCATAAACATCGTTTTTGAACATGTGTCGTTTTGTGTATAATTTGATATGTGCAAATATTCTGATAATATCAATAAAATTTGAAAGAGGATGAGCAAATTTTTCCGGGGACAAATCTGGGTCTGCGGAAAAAATTTTAATTTAGCGCGAGGCGTTTTAAAGGTTATAAACTCGTAAACTCAGCAAAGATTTGTAATCTCATCATTTTAGAGCTAGGAAAACATTTAATGAATAGTTTATAAACCAGAGAATTGTAAATTAATATATCAATATGACTTCTTAGGTTTGACGTGGGCGACCAAATATCGATTATACTATACGGCCTCGAGACAAAAAATAATCTGAGCCTAGGTGCTTCTAAAATAACGAATTTAAAACTGCCTCAGCAAAAACAAAATATTTTGCGAGAGACTTTTTGCAGCTTTGATGTACCCGCTGAGTTTTTATGAGGAATTATTAACAGCCAGTGCAATCCAGGCTACCGGTTAGCTCGGGTTAAAAGTCAAACCCAAATTGAATTTTCCCTTTCAGCGATCCAACACCTTTCTACAAATAAGATGCCACTCCCTAGAGAGTAACTTGTCAATTGTGTATCTTCTGCTCAACAGCGGATTGAAAACACTCAAAAAAAACAATCAAATTAATTATTATAAACTTGTTCACCTTTTGTTCAATAATACCTCAAGTCAAAATACTGAAAATGTCAAGTTCAAGTGGTCACTCTTCTTTTGTCTATGCAAAACTTGGCGAATAGGTTCAACTTTTTAACATCAGATCATGTAAAAATTAATTTTATTAAAAGGTTAAACACGTTCATAGTACTATCATTTTTGTGGTCACACTTTTAGTATGCCTTTAGTAGAGGTGGATTTTGTGAAATTGATAAAAGGGAATAATTTATATGATTGGGGTGGATCAAAGAAAAATTGTCTGTCGGCGCGGTGCATCTTAACCCAGTGGAGTACCACGTTAATTACTTTGATGTGAAATTAGCTGGAATGGGAAGTGTTTACATGCGTTAGGAGCTGGGCGTTGCCGGTCGGATCTTAGCGCAGTGGACCATTTAAAATCCGCACTTTGTGATCGGGGATTAGATCCAAATCCAGTCGTAAAACCCTTCACAGCTCAACCTTGATGCCCGGTCTCAGTCCAAAAGTAGTCTAGGAGGCATAGCGGGACCCTTACTGGATGTGGGGAAGACTCTCAGTGGTCTCTGTCGATTTACTCCTCTCAACCGAATTTGATCCCTAAATTGCCCCCTCATCAATACTTCGGCCCCCCTTTTTACTATATCTTATGGACAATTAAAGTATCAGTGTCTACATCTGACAATCTTTGTAGACAGGGGTCAAAAGAGTCTTAAAACTATGGGTTGAAAAGTGTTGATTTTCTAAAGGTGCTTTCTTCGTCAATATGGGCTAGATTTGAGGCGTAAAGCTTGCCGAGAACCCAATTTTTCGGCCAAGACTTTAAAAATTCTACTGGGTTTGGACAATTTTTCGGCCAAAGTTTTGCAAGATGTTTAATATCAATAATAGCATGATCTTCGAAACATGAAAAAAAACTTTGTTCAGAACAGCGCTCATTCGATTTTGTCAAACAAAAGAAAAAACGATTCGAGGCACAAATAGGAGAAAGCAAGCTATTTTAATGAAAATAGTTTTGGGTATTCTTTTCAATCGATTCTGGTGAATAATGTATGTATTCATTACGCAGTGATTGCTTAGCTTCTTGTGCCGTCAATAGACCGTCACTATACCAAAAATTAGTAAGTTTGACGGATGTAACTATCATCCGAACGTTAAAAACCTTGTTCGAATAAATTAAAACAGCTATTGACATCGTATCGAACCATTTAAAATTCTCTATAACAATTAGTAATTGTTTAAATTGTCAAAACAGTAGTTAACTTTATATCAATTAAATTAAAGTTAATTATTGAATTGTTTCAAATTGAGCTGTTCTTTGTCGCTAAAACCGAGAAAAACAACAAACCCAGCGGGGTAAGTTTTCACGACTGCCAATTTGTTTTGGTTGAAAGAACCCCCACCCCTGCATGCAAAAGAGTCTTCCCGACTTTTGGCCTGCCTTGTTTTTATCCTTGTGATTTTGGAGTACAGGAGTTAATAATAACACCATGAACGAACGCGTGTTTGGGTTAAGAGGTATTCCATTGGGCTATTATCGCCTCTAATCGGGATAATCAAGTCTGATTCTCTCTGATCTTTCAAAAAACCCCAGCCTCATTTATAGTCTCTCTTCTATATCCCAATCTTGCACAACATTGCACAATTGTTTTATACCTATACTAAAATACCTGAGTTGTAGTCAGTCCTCATTGCACAACTCCCTGTACGGAGAATTAAAATACAGCGATGTGATTGGCTAGTTGAGATAATCCAATGGAGAGGGTTTCTGCTGAGGTTCTTTAGAAGCAGAGATTTGTAGCTCTATTTGACAAGTATTCAATCCGTTCTTCTCTAGTAAACAGCAGCTCTGATTCTACAATCAAAACAAAACCTCAATCTTCATAATAATAATTTAATAAAAACTGGTCTTCATCTGTTTATTTAAAATTAATTGTCACATTTTTGGACGAAATAAAAAAACTTTCTACAAAAAAAATTTCTCTGATCAAAACATTTCACAACTGATCTTTATCAGAGTAGCGAACTCTCCTAGGTTTAAATAACTTTGAATTCCTCGAATACCTCACAAATTGGTGAACAAACTGATAACATTTATCTAACTGCTCGTGATCAAAAATGAATCTGTACCCGTCAGCAGCCGAGATGTCCTACTTGAAGCAGGTTCAACAAGCAGCCGCAGTCGCTTCTCACCATCCCGCCTACATGCAGCCGGGAGCTGCAGCTCACTCGATGTTGTCACATCACCATCACCCCCAGATGGACCTGCTTCACCATCCAATGTCCATGAACTACCCTGGTGAGTTGAAACCAACTGAAAGTACTATTTAATTAGCGTTCCGACTTAGGAAGAAAGTGCGGACCGAATAGTTATGTTTGTTTGTGTTTTCGAAACGTTCAACAAACTTTTTTAGTCTTCACGTCGAGATGTTTCGACATGAAGTTGCAAGAGTTATGTGTAATGAGGTTGACCGCTATAATTATTACATTTATTGCCTCAATTTACCTAATGTATATAATTCCATGCAAACAATAACGCCGACCAGCGAGCTCTCGTGCCTGATTTCTTCTTTTGCTTTTTGTTCTCAGAATAAAAGAGTCGTTTTTTATGATAAAATTTATTTAGCACTTCTACAAGATTCGGAATATCAGTTTTTTTTATTTGATTGAATAAAATCAAAGGTTTCTGAAGTTTAAAACACCTTCTTTCAAATACGCCTTTAAAACAACTTGAGTCCGAAGTTCGTTTGTGTGAACATTATTAAATCGCCCGAAAAGTGTCGTTAGCACATTAATCGGTTCTCAAAGCATCGCTTATTTCGACTTTGAAGGGAGGTGTTATCAATATCACACTCTAAGCGACGTTGCGCAAACCCACGATCGGATCTCGGAATGAAATAATTTGTCACTCCGTTCATTAAAACGAATTAGAAATTCCGACGGCAGTTCACCAAAAAAACTAACACACCATTGAAACTTATTAGATATTTCAAAAACAGTTTATCAAAAAAATATAACCTGTTCCTAAACTAAAACATCATCAATCAGTTCCAGTTTAAATTACTCAAAACGATTAATAAGTTTTTAAGTTTAGCTAAAATAAAAAATGGGAAGTTACGAAACCTTTATTCCACAAATGACCAATTTCGCTGGAAACCCAAACCAAAACCAGCAAGTTCCAATTATGCCAAGCATTCCTAGCAATACTCCAAACATTCCAAACTTTAACTGCTATTACTACCCGCATCAACTTGGGGCTCAAATGGTTCCAACTTCGAACCCAAATTTAGTGAATCCTAATTTATTGACACAATCTGAGGCAAACTTGAAACTGATGAATGAATTTGGACATTTTAAACTTTCAGTTCCGGGAGCCCACCACCAAATGCAAGGCGCCAATGCCATTCCAGCGGGACGCAAACAGCGAAGAGAGAGGACCACATTCACTCGGACCCAGCTGGAGATTCTGGAGGCACTGTTCAGCAAGACCAGATATCCGGACATCTTCATGCGGGAGGAAGTGGCCAATAGAATCAACCTGCCCGAGTCGAGAGTACAGGTACGTTCAATTCTCTGTCAGTTTTTCTTTTTTTATAATAAATATAATTTACAAAATATTGTTAATATTTTGTGAATAATATATGTAGTTAATCTGAGTATAATCTTCAATTTTCAATTTTTGAGCTCACTGCTTTTTCTATTCGTCGTTATTTGTGAAAATCATACTTAAGTTTGCTTTAGTTTACTAAAACTCACGTTAAACTATTTAATAGAATTTTGCTTTTGGCGGTTTCTTTCCTTCTTTCTATTTAAGACTAAACAAAAAGGTTCAATTAGTCTCTGAAACCTGCCAAATATTAAAAATGAGTTCAATTGAAACAAAATACCCGTTTTGTTTTTTTTTTGCAATTAATTTGACTCCTTATAACATTTTTTCACTTGTCAGACTAAGAATAAAAAGCGTAGGGTTTATTTCCTGGATACGATAATACAAACAGTTTTCTGCAAATACAAAAGCTTAAGTGCACCGCTTCACAGACTAATCTTGGCTTGAAGAACCTTGACAGAACATCTTAGGGTTGGACTCCATCTCAAAAAACAGTGAACATTTTGGACTTGTTCTTTCAAGTACTTTGAAGCACCGCAAATCAGTGGGAGCAGTCTTGCATAAAAACCTGAAAATGTTGATCGCTCAGACGAATAATATTCTTATCAAACATTGTGTCATGTTATTGAATGTACATAAGTCATGCATCTTTCTCGATACAGGGCGGCCTCGTAAGGGGAGGGGAGATAAGACTGTTTGCAGGGGAGCAAAATTACAAGTTGAAATAAAAGTAATGTTAACTTCGGACAAGCAATTTCATTGATAATTTTGTTTCGACAGGCCATTAAAACAAATACCATCTTGAGACCAATTCTGTTTCTCAAAGTTTACACAAGTGAAGATTATCTAGTTCAATTATTTAATTCTTTGGATGAAGCATATGAATATTAAACCCCCTTGTGTTTTTAATGGTTCTGTACAATTTTAAGCCTCAAGTTTTGTAGATTAAGGTCAGAATTGGTTAAGAAGTTTTCCAAATAGCAAAAACCCCGCGTGGTGAATAAAGTGCAAAATGATACGAGATAATCCTGCTTTCCATAAGACTTAAGATAGTCATAATATTTCACAACGGCTACGTGTTCTACTGTGTGTACCGTTAAAACTAATCTTCATAATCCAAAGAACTCACTGAAATTGATTGTTAGTTCACGGAGACATCAAAATACCTTTTCAATAATTGAAGAAGCCTAGCCCTAAACAGTCGTTTTTTTAATGAAATTTACATTTAATTTATTAGTTGGTTCAAATTTAATTGAATAGTTCTTATTTCCTTTTTTTGTGAAAAAGAATTTTTTCATAGCATAATTTTTCAGTTCTTGTTCATTATTCTGTTCTTTTTTCAGGTTTGGTTTAAGAACCGACGTGCAAAGTGCCGACAGCAACAACAGCAGACACAAAATGACAAGACCGACAAAGCTACTCCTTCGCCTGACAACTCTGACTTGAAGAAAGACCCAACCGACTCTCAACTGACACCAGGATCCCAAATGAACTCTCAGCTTCAACAAGACACCGGAAGTCCGACCATGAAAGTCGAAAATGTGATCAAAAACGAACTGTGCGACAACCTTTTGAAGAAAACTACACACGTCGCTCCGGATTTCAATGATCTCGGAAATGTTTTGAAACAACAGCAGGAATTGTCAAGTCCACAGGATCATGATATAGTGCGAAACGGTGTTTTGGGTGCCATCGGCAGCAAAGACATGAATGATATCTCAAACATCGCGAGGTCCGAATCATCCCCGTTTTTGCCCAGTGTTTCCTCCAGTTTCATTAACATCTGGAACCCGGCCGGAGCTATGCACAACCATTCCAGTGTTTCCAGCTACAATCCAGATATGAATTCGGCTGCTGGACTCGGACGTCCCTCGGGAATCCCGAACTATAACCAGGCTGCTCAGACTTCGTTCTATCCTTCGGGGTACTACAGTTTCGACACTTCGTACGCGCCTTACTTCAACAACTCATATCAAACGTCGGCAGCTGCCGGTGCTGCTCTCTCGGCCGCCGCTGCGTCCCGATATCCCTACTCTGTCGGAACTGATGACAACACGAATGCGCTTTTCAACCCGATTACAAGCTCGGCCGGAGGACTGACCTCCGAAATTAAGCAGGATGTGATCCGAAACCCGCTCAATGATTTGCCCCCTGTTTGGAAGGGCTACTGAAACTTAAAGTGTAATCATCAACTCTAGCCGATCAATGTTTGTTTTTGACAATTTGGCGCTTTAAACTCGGAAGCGTCAAATCTGAAGTTTGAGCTAAACTCAAAAATCTGATAGAATTTGATTTACTTTTCAACATATCTTATGCAATTTCTTTTGTAAAATAACCCAAAAAAATGATTTAGAAACATTCGATGCATGCTTGCACCTTTTAGATGTTTTGTATTTTATAGTGACCTCAATTATTTCACTTTCTGTATAGCTGGGTATTTAACAGCTCTAATTCATTATTTTGTACAATAATATTTTTATTTAGACCAATCAGAAAGAGCTGCTATGACAAAGCATTGCTTCATTCAGTGTTGTTTCGATAGCTATGATTATAAATAGCGTAGAAATAAAAGTAGGAGCATCAAACTAAATTACGAAAACGTTACCCAACAGAACTTCATCCTACTCGAGATCTTGGTTCAATTAGGATAGTGATGTTCAACAAAGTTCAGTGTTTTTTTTCGCATGTAGAACAGAACTTTTGGATCTACTTAACAATTGCCCCACCCCCTTTTAAGAAAGGGTAGGGCAATTGTTAAGTAGATTAAAGTAACGCATTTTTGACCAATCAGAATGCAGCAAAATTCTAATTCTCAATAGAAAGCTCAGTGCTAATTTACTGCTTTTATTAATAGGGGTGGCAATTCTTAATTAGATACTTAAGGGGGGGGGGGGGGCAATTGTTAAGGAGATCCGAATTTTTTCTACATTCAAGTCTATAGAAACTGAAAAAGAAACAAGACTGCTTGTATCAGGGCGAAGCCCTGAATGTTCCGACTGCCTTTTAAGGTTTATGGAGCAGTAATAACATTAAAAAATTAAATGTAATAAAACAAAATGAAAAATTTTTTTTTTCTAAAATTTGAAATTTTTTAAGAAAATCATCCCCCCACACGCACGCCATATAAAGTACCAAAATATAGATTTCGCTCCTTGTAACAAACCAATTATCGCAAATAAGCTTCTTTCAACCAATTTGGAACAATTTCTAAGACGGATTAACTCTCCGCTTACGCGTTAATAGCGCGAAATATATCGCGCGTTAATTGTCCCAAATTGTCCAAAATGGCAATCTTTAAACCCCTATAACTTTACGAAAAATGATCACAGGTGAAATATCTTTTCAAATTTGAGCTCATGACAACAATACCTTTCGAATGATATAAAAAAATTCCGTCAAAAATGGCTAGTTAAAAAGTCAAAATTTGTCTGAAGAAAAAAAAACCCACCCCGAGCACAAATATTCCGTTACTTTCGTATCGAAAGTCGGAACAATTACTTTCGTATCGAAAGTCGGAACAATAATCAAAAAGTAAATCCAAAATTTTAACACCCGCATATTTGTCAAAACTATTTTTAAAAAATCATGCAATATTTTTGATAACGTTTTTTGAACAATTCTTGTTTTTGTTTTTGTTTTTTTTTAGTTTTTATGTATGGCGGATTTCTTCGATTTTTTTACGGAAGTAGTTTTGATGGTTTTGTTCAAATTTGGCTGTTTTTAAGAGCGAACGAAGGAATTAATTATGTAACAAAGTGCAAGACTGAAAAGTTATAATAGCTTGAAACCGATATAATTGATGTTCATTTAAATTGAGACTTCCAGTAATATGCGCCTGAAAAGCAAAGAGCCCAGACCCATTTTTCTCAAAACTAACACTAATTTTTTGGAATCAGAATCAGAATCAAAGAAAGGGATTTAATATAATATCCCACTTGACTTGACCCTTAGAACATTTCTCTGAGGTAGACAAATTGACTGGAAAAATGACCAACTGTACTCAACAGTTAGCCGACCTCAGAGTTGTTCAGAACAAAGTTTTTACCCACTTGATTTTACTGAACCCGTTTTTCTGTACTGAGCGCGTAAATAGCAACTCAAGCCCACTCAGAAACGAATCCAAAAAGAATTGAGTCAAATTATTTACTCCTAGCAGTGTATCACTAGACGCAAATCATAGCAATCATTATTTGATGATTTTCAAAAGGCGAGAGATTTGGCAGAAGGCATCAAGTTTTCTTTTTTTCTAACTCTTATTGTATTTTTATTGATTTCAAATTTTAATTCAGTAAAATAACATTCAGGGTTTTGTCTTCACATAAGTAGTGCAAACTAAATAGGCTTGCCATGCAAACTAAATTTATGAAAAAATAATTGATTGTGCGAAGCAATTATGAGCGTTTTTAAAGTCTCAATCTGTCTTTTTTTAACTCAAATTTTTAACTTAAATTAGCTGCAACTGGTGATAGCAAACGTTATCAAATCAGATCAAGAGCTTTTTAAATCCAAATTTTTTTTATTTTCTGTCGTGCTGATCAAATTTCTCAGGGGACTTTTATTTTTTCATAAAATAATTATTTTTAGAAGCGTAGACAATATAGCTCAAAAAGTAACAAAATTCACAAATTAGTTTGAAATTATTTTGCTCCTAAATTTTCATTGAAACAAAATTTGTCGCAGAACAACATGAACTAATTGCTAAAAGAGAACTAGAGTAATTTTGTTTGGTCGATTGAACTAGGCGGAACCAAGTTTGATAATAATGTGAAAAATGATGTCAAAATAATGAACGATAAAAAAAATTAACCAAATTAAACACTCAAATAGTGTTATGATATTTATCTGTGAATCAGTGATTTTCTATTTTATTCATCTGAAGACAAGGTTTATTCTTAGTGAAAATATCAGCCACAAGCATCCAAAGTTAGCGAAAACAAAAAAAAACGTCACATAACTCGGAAACACGTTTCAAAAGGTTTTAAAGATTGAGCAAATTATTGGCAAACCAGCGTAACAGCTGAATTTTTTGCTTTTATTCTATATGGAAAATGCTCAAGCGTGCAAGCAATGCAACAAACACGTCGCGTGACAGAAAAAAAACCAAAATCTGTGTTTTTTTGAACTGAAAAAGAGTATAATTGGTATTTGTTTTTACTGTAAGTCACTGGGGCTTAATGAAAGTAAATCAAAATGAAACGAAGATATCCAATCAACTGTTCCAATCCAATTAGTTTGAGATCGAAAAAAAATCAGTTGTCATCGTCTGATTTTACACCGGTTGGCAGCAAAACTAGGTATAATCAACAGTTAAATTAGAAAGCAATAAAAAAGTAGTAAAACAATTTTTGTATATATGGAAAGTTAACCACGTGTTGAGATCTGATCTCGTGATATGACATCGCGCGATATCGCATGACATCTTGCGATGTCCAATCGTGTTCTTATTTTATCCAAAAAGTGGGAAGTGACTTCTCTATAAAGTGAGAAATCATTTTTCCGAAACTTTACACTCCTCCTCTAAAAATAGCTACTGCATCATGGCCTCTACTAGTCCAGAGGTTCAGTTTTATTATGTCCCATACGATGTTTGTTGAGAGCAATATCAGTTTTGTTTCGCCCTTGCTCAAATATCCTGATTAATTTGCCTGCTCTGCTTTCAAACTTCCTACTCTCCTTTATCTTGGAACCTAACTGCATGTCCACACTCTGAAAATTCTTAACCTCGCATTTATTTCTCGACTCCTCCTTACATCGTTCATAGAATGACATTTTAGTTTTTGAATGGTCTCCAGGCTCATTTTTCAGCTCTACCTCATTCATTTTATCATCCTCATTTATCATCAAATTCTCATTTTGCTCAGTAAAAATCCCAATCTTCTCTTCTGTCTCTCTGCAAAAATAAGTCTCATTGACACTGAATTTTTGTGATTTCCAAATCCCAAATCGTATTGTTTTCCCAATAAAACTGTTTCCTCGCTCACCTAGAAGATAAGTGGTCCCGTTTCCTTGCTCAATACAAGAATTTTCCCCAAAGATGACTTTTTTGCTTTTCTAGTAATTTTTGAGACAGACATCAAATTTTCTGAATTTTCTGGTACATAGAAACAATCACTCATTGAAAGTTTTTTCAAATCTCTTTGAGAGTCTCTCACCATAAAAACCGAACTCTTGCTTTACCTAAACTGTTAAAATCCGTTTTGTTAGCGTTTGCTAAAAATCTGGTCTATCTCAACATATAAATTCCTATCCATTATCATACTGCAAGTTGCGCCTGAATCTATAACTAGGTCACCGTCGACTCTATCGGCTGAGTTGTAACGCTAAAACAAGTTTCATTTGTTTCAACCAACTGCTGCTCTTCTCTCACGCTTTTTTTTGTCGAAGTCCTTCGTACAATCCCTAGCTATGCGTCCTAATTCTAAGCCGCTGATACGATTCACAGGAGGTCTATCGCTGGTTGACTTGTCAATCTTATTCATTAACTTAGCTCTACAATGAGCGAGCTCCTATGTGTCCTGTCTCATGACACCTAAAACATGTTCTTGTCCAAGAAATAAACGGATGTTCAAAATCCTCCTTCTCATTCCTATGATCATTTTCAATATTTAACAAGTCTTTCTTATTTTTCTTCAAGTTCTTATCCTCTTTGCTAATTTTAATCAAAGTACAAAACCCATTATACTCTTCTGTTAGGTCCTTAAGAATGATCGACACAATGAATTGTTCACTTAAGCCCTGGTCTACTTCATCTAAATTACACTGCAACTCTTCAGCTCTAGTGATATAATCGACTACACTCTCTTTAGCTTTCATTCTGATCGAGGTTAAATCTGAAATCAATTGCTGCAATCTTGGTCTCTCGGCGCACTTAAACTTTTTGCAGTAAACTTCCAAAGCCCTACTTCCCTTGTATTAATAACGTCTTAAAAACAAAACAGATTTTTTGTCTAAATATTGGTCTAACTCATACCAAACATGCTATTCTTTTTCACCTAAAATATCTCTCCTTTTTCTCAAAGATGCCTCTTTCTGTTCTACAGTAGCCTCATTTCTAACACTGGGTGCAAAATCTTTCTCATCTACTTCTCTATTGATAACTTTAATCAGTTTAGGATGAACAGTTCTAGAATCAAATTGCTCTGCAAAGTACAAAAAATCTTCTTGTTTTCTGAAAACAATTTTATTTCTGACGTTTTAATCTATGCCGTATTGCTCTGAACAAATACGCATTTTTCAATGATAAAAACTGAGTCTATTTTTTATCAGCAAACATTTTGCTGCGCATAATATATGTAAGTGTATCTCATTAGCTAGGTCTGATCCAAAACCTAACGATAAGCGTACTGAATAACACATCAGCAATTTAGCAAAGCTAAAGGCTACTTCACAGACTTCCTACATAAGAATATTTATTTGCAAAATTAAAATT